TGCCTCCTGCCATTTTGCCTGCACATAGTCTCAGAAGAAGAAAAAAAAAAAAAAGACATGAAGCACGTGGTATTTCTCTTTCATTAAACTTAGATAATTTCTGTCCTTGGACATTTCGTTTTCTTTTCTCTGTGTTTTGGATCCACTATACAAATTTCCAGAAGTGCTCTACCACCTGACATTCCCATGAAGAGAAGCTGGAGGGCCCAGTCCCTGCAGCCCAAGCCTGCCTGTCACCCTCCAAATGCTGCAGCATTTCTAGCTTCCGGGGTCCCCAGTCCTTCCTGGAACACCTATGGTAGGTGAAGGTCACAGACCTGTGGGCTGAACCATCTCTCAGTAGACTACAAAGGACAGCCAACATAGCACTGGCACAAAGAAAGAACTTGCAAAGTTCAAGGATCCCTCTACCATCCTCCTGCCTGGCCCCATCCTGGCACCTTGCTTGTGGTGAGAGAAGCCATCTTGTGCCTGGCCCAGTGGAGCTGAAATCCTAGTAAGTAGAGATGATATCTTTGACCCCTGCCCCTGGCCTCAAACATGCTATAAACAAATGCTTTGCAACTGAGCTATATCCATGACTCAGCAGTAGCTCTGCGTTTCTGCTTTCTTGTTTATTTCTTTCTCTTTAGAACACATTGGGTTGTTTGTTTTGTTTTTGTTGGTTTTTGCCTTTGTTTTCTATTCTTTAAACTTCTTTGAGACATTGGGTTTTTTTTTTCTCAATCTTTCCTGCCCACCTCCTCTCAGAACCTCTCGTCCTCTGCACCACCCAAAGTTCCTCGTTTTTAACATCAGTGTTCACTGTCATAAATCCCCCTCTACTCACTGTCTCTGAGGTGGTGCTGTCAGCTTGGTACAAGCTAGAGTCCTGTAGGAAGAGTCCACAGTGCACTTCTTTATTGACCAGTGATGTGGGAGGGCCCAGCTCACTGTGGGTGAGGCCAGCCCTGGGCAGGGGGTCCTGAGTGATATAAAAAATGACACTGATGAGTCAGGAAGCAGCACTCACTCCTCCATGGTCGCTGCATCAGTTCCTGCCTCCGGGTCCTGTCCTGAACACTCTAGGTTCCACTCAGTTTCTACAACCTCTATGGTCTCAGTCTGGCCAAACTATTATTCTCCTGTATCTTTTATAACACAACCCACAAACATTTTCTTTAGTGTTAAATGTGCATCAGGTTCTACAGAATCTCTGTAGCTCACTGTTTCTACTACATATCTGTTTCATGTGGTCCTAATGTGAGCCTTGTGGTCCAGCACACATCCCTACGTGTCCATCAACGCTTTGTGGTCCAGGACACATTCTTACAGGTCTGTTAGACTGGTTTGGTCCAGCACATCCCTGATCTATCTCTTCCACACAACAGGAAGTCACAGTATCAGAGCCCTAGGAACGCTGTGTTCCTGGGTCTCTCACTAACGCACCATCTGTGCAATGTGCCCAATGTTTCCAAATGTTCCCCTAAGCTAACATGAGTACTTTTAAAGCAAAGCCCACCAATGCACAGCTTCCCCCATTGCTGTGGATCCTTGGGATCAAAGCCCTCCATTTGTAGAACTGATTCTTTGCTCTTCCAAGCCATTTCTCTCTTGACCTAACTGATATGGTTCTGTGGTTTGAGACTCCATAGGTAACATCCTATCATAATTGCCCAAGCTCCCACTGTGGCCTCAAACCATGAAGTAACTATTCTTAAACAAAGGCTTCACCAGCCCCAAACAACCCGAGGCCTTTCTGTGCCCAAATCAGCTTTCCCAAGAATCACATGACCCCAGTGAGTCACATCACTCTACCCAAGCTGACTGGCTTTGCACTTCCCACCATGCCTAAGGAAAGAAAGCACAGAGATAGGAATGTCTCTAGGACTCACTGTGGTCTTCACTCCAGTGATGCCAGGCAGTTGAAGCCAGCAAAGGGAAAGGGCACACAGGACAGTCCAGGAGAGACATGTCCAGCTTCTATTTGTCCTCTTCCAGTAGAGTTCAAAGGACAGTGATAAAGTATCTGTTGACAGGTACTGAAAGAATTTGAACTTGAAGCACCCCTGAGCCCAGATGACCAGGGACTTCAAGTTCAAGTTTGCTGTTGCAGACACGGCACACCTGTGCAGCTGACATGAATACCAAGACCCCAGTCCCCATGGAAGTCACACTGATCTTACAGGACACAAGTGCTCATGTGGCTGAGGGCCCATGGACTGAGGATGAAGGGAAGCAAACAGTGCTAGCAGGCAGATGTTACCAGAGCATCCAGGTCATCTCCCATGAGATGGTGACACACAGGAACCTGTACAACATAAAGTGTGTGACACCCCTCACCTGCTCCGTGCACTTACCTCTCAGGGCCTCACTCAGCCTGAAGTAGGAAGATCAGACCCAGTCAGCACCATGGCTTCTATTTCACGTCATCATACGTGACACACAGAAGAGAGGTGGAGACCTGAAGAGAGGCAGAAGGTGTGACAACTAGCATCCAGGCCTAGCCAGGAGGTCTCAGAAATCATCCTAGAAGGGTCCTGGAGCAAGCCAGAAGGAAGCCACCAGCCTGAGCCTGAGTGACCAGAGCACAGTTGTCTCTGTCTCTTCACTCCTGACCACACCCAGGCTGGTGTCCTGACTAAGATTCAGGCCAAACTGGAGCTGGAGAAAGACCCTTGTCTGCGCTCCAAACTAAGGTGCCAACCTGCTTAACTGGGTTGGGCATGGCCAGGTCATGAACGGAAACAGGGAGCAGACTTGGGTCTTCAGGATGTCAACAAGCAAGGAGTCCTCCACAGGCCCTGGTGACACAGATGTAGCCAGAGAAGGGGGCAGCAGGTCTAGCCCAGAGGAGATGACCCAGTGCCCATTCGTAGCTGAGGGCTGCATGGTGTGGGCTCGGCTCAACTCCTCTAATTCGGTTCTTGTCTCCCTTCTGCCACACTGGCGGATGCGGCAGAGAGCACCTGCCTGGATTCCACTGGGACTTCTGAGTCTTTGATCTTCAGAGGTCTGCATCCCCAGCAAGGACACGGTCTGCACCTTCATTGACCCTAGGGAATCATGAGTTGGCATATGTCGTATTCCCAGCAGTACCCAGCACGGAGGTAACATTTGTTGAGAAACTCAGACTCATCTTTCCATTTTCCTCAGGGCTGCCCATCTTAACCAGAGGCCGCTTCCATGAAGAGGACTCTGCCTACATAGCTCCATGTGGAACACAGTTAGGAGAGAGACTGACCAACCAAGAAACAAAAGCTGAATAAATGACAGAAACCATCGTGTGACAAGAACCTGACCCAACATTATTGCCTCCAGGGACTCTGACAGTTGTTGACATTTTCACAGCTTTCTCGGGTCTCATGTAAGAAGTGCCTGACTCTGAGTCTGGCCTTCCTAATCAATTCAGTAACCTCCAGCCTGTCCACAAGACCCCACGGGCTGTAGTCACATTCCTCCCACTGCCCCTCACTAACTACAAAATTGATCAATGGCACTTGCTGTCACAGGCAAGTGGTGTGTTCTGCAGTGCCTATAAGTTCCTTGTGTCCTGCTCACAAAGTAACCCTGAGCCTCTAGGGTGGTCTGACCCCAGCATACTGGGTGGTCTTGTGAGTCAATTTGACACAAGCTAGAGTCATCAGAGGAAGGAGCCTCAGTTGAGGAAATGACTGCATGAGGTCTGAAACCCATTTTCTCTTTTATGGTCAATGGCACCATGAGGAGAGCCAATGAGAGGCTGGCAGTGAAAAGTGCAGCCCACTTGCAGCAGAGACCCATGTTGTGGAGATGTCAGCACCACGGGACAACAGCAACCAAGAAGAGCAGCAGCAGTGAAGTGGAACCAGCAGGAGCCTAGCAAACAAGCTGTGTGTGCTGCAAGGGCAGAGCTGGAGAATGACCCAAGCCTTTCTAGGAGTCCAGGAGATTGTGAGTTGAGCCCAGATAATTGGACACTGAGTTATTTATACGGTTGGAGTTTGGTTTTGCTTGGTTCAGACTCTGAGAGGGCCCTGGTTCTTCTCTCTTAAAAAAGGTATTTAATTTTGATTTTTAAAGGAGCCCACAGATTAAACACTTGAACTTTTAAAGAGACTGGATATTTTAAAGAGACTGAAATTTTAAAGACTACATTGTAAAAACCGTGGGACTTTTTAAATTATCTATGATTTTAATGTGAGATCTTGGGGATGAATAAGAAAGGAATGCAGCTTGACAGGGATGTGTCTGTGTGTCAAGTTGACAAGGGGTCAGTTGTACTGGCTGGCTTTGTGTGTCAACTTGACACAAGCTAGAGTCTTCAGAGGAAAGAGTCTCAGTTGAGAAAATGCCTTGATGAGATCCAGCAATAAGACATTTTCTCATTTAGTGATCAGTGGGGGAGGGCCATGGTGGGTGGTGCCATCCCTGGGCTGCTGGTCCTGGGTTCTATAAGAAAGCAGGGTGAGCAAGCCATGGGAAGCAAGCCAGTAAGCAACACCCCTCCAATGCTGTTGTATCAGCTCTTGCCTCTGGGATCCTGCCTTTTGAGTTTCTGTCCTGACTTCCTGGATGAACAGCAATATTGAAGTGTAAGCCAAATAAACCCTTTCCTAACCCAACTTGCTTTTTGGTCATGGTGATCGTTTCAGAAAAAAAAAAAAGAAAGAAAGAAAAAGAAAAACATAAGACACCCAGTCTGAGGAAATGTTCACAAATCCCTCAAAACTTTGCCTTCATGGCTTGTCAACTGTCTGAATACTCCAGAACAGGCCTCCAGTGGCCAGTTGCCCACCGCGCTCACAGTGCCCAGCCTCGCATGACCACTACACACAGTTCATGAATTCCTCTTTCCACATGAAGCTGCAGCTCCCCTGGACAGCATCTGGGAAGGAAAGAACCTTGGAGCTGACCTGCCTGGCCTGCTCAGTCCCTGTCCTACATGCTGGGCTTAATGGTAAACACATCAAGTTGGCTCACAGCGGAGGGCAAAGGGCAGCCTTGCCCCTATATAAAGGACAGGGTGCCCAGGCTACGGTCAGAGAGTTCTTACTGTTTCCAGGTGGCTTGAGTAAAGATTCCAAGGTTTTCTCAAAGAGCAAAGAAACTCAGTGAGACAGCCAGCCATGGGGCTGCTGGCTGGGGATGGCCTGTGGTCTGTGGCTATATTCACAGTCATCTTCCTGCTTCTGGTAGACCTGATGCATCGGCGCCGGCGCCGGACTGCCTGCTACCCGCCAGGCCCTGTGACAGTGCCAGTACTTGGCAACCTGCTGCAGCTGGACTTCCAGAACATTCAATATAGCATGTACAAGGTGAGGGAGACGGTGATAGAGGAGAGCAGAGGGCATGGTCATCCTAGCAGCGTATGGTGGTGCTGGAGCCACAGACTGGACAGAGCTGGTCCTTTAGGAAGAAAGCCCAAGAGACTTCCAGGGTGGGAGGGTGCTTCAGGGCCCAAGGACACTGTGGACTTTTGAAGGGAAAGGTTTCAGGAGGGCAAAGGATGGGAGGAGGGGCATTGGGATTCAAATGGACGAGACAGAACTAAGTCACCAAAGCTCTAAGTCCCTCTGATTTCAACAGTGAATGGGTCTTAGAGGTGAATGAGAGACACCTGGATCTAGGGTACTGTGTCAGTGAGGAGAGGGGCTGTTGAATCTCTTGCTGCTGCATGATTTGAGGTTTGGGTCTCAATGAATCTTCCCTTCCTCACATAATGGTGGGATTCTAAGGGGACTATGAACACTATCCTCAATGTGGCAAGGTCACAGCTGGCTGACCAATTCTATTCTGAGTCCTTTGATGAACCTAGAGGACAACCACCAGAGCTCATGCTGGAGATGTAGATCACATTTGTCAGGGCCAAGGTTCAATAAAAAGCAAGACACATACAAACAGAGAGAGAGAGAGAGAAAGAGAGAGGGAGGGAGGGATGCAGGGAGGAGAGGAGATGAGAGGAGAGGAGAAGAGAGGAGAGGAGAGAAGAGGAGAGGAGGGGAGGGGAGGGGAGGGGAGGGGAGGGGAGAGGAGAACCAATGTTTATGCAGTGAGCCTGGTTCTAGGATCTTCAGGGGAACTCCAGAACTTCCTAAGCATTCTGTCCCTCTACTTCAGCTTCAAAACCGCTATGGTGACGTGTTCAGCCTGCAGATGGCCTGGAAGCCCGTGGTTGTGATCAATGGACTGAAGGCGGTGCGGGAAGTGCTGGTGACCTGTGGAGAGGACACTGCTGACCGCCCTTCAGTACCCATCTTTGAATACCTGGGTTTTAAGCCCAGATCCCAAGGTAAAGGGCTGTGTGTGGCAGAGCTGGCATTGGAGATACGGCAATGGACAGAGGAAGTTTAAAACATGAATGCTGGTTGTAATGTGGTCAAGCAATTCAACAAAAAGCCACTGAGCCGGCGATGGTGGCACACGCCTTTAATCCCAGCACTCTGAGTTTGAGACCAGCCTGGTCTACAAAGCTAGTTCCAGGACAGGCTCCAAATCCACAGAGAAACCCTGTCTCGAAACACCAAAAAAAAAAAAAAGCCACTGAAATCCTGGATAGTTTCTACCCAGGAGGCAAGTGCTGGATTGTGGTAGCAAAGTTCTGAGAGGCTCCTGGGTAGGAACCCAGACGAGAAGAGCAATGACAGCGGAGGACAGCACAGCCAGGGGTCCTTAGTAACACGCGTGTGTCTACAGGTGTGGTTCTTGCATCGTATGGGCCTGAATGGCGAGAGCAGCGGCGATTCTCTGTGTCCACCCTGCGCAACTTCGGCCTGGGCAAGAAATCACTGGAGCAGTGGGTGACAGGGGAGGCAGGCCACTTATGTGACGCCTTCGCCGACCAGGCTGGTGGGTGATGGGTGAGGGGTGCAGATGGGCACAGGGAGACAGGAGCACTACAGTGACTTGCTTGCGTCTCCACACCCAGGGTGTCCCTTCAATCCCAGCACCTTGCTGAACAAGTCTGTATGCAATGTGATCGCGTCCCTCATTTTTGCTCGTCGCTTCGAGTACGAAGACTCCGACCTCACTAGAATGCTGACACTAATAGGAGAAAGTTTGAAAGAGGTCTCTGGCATCATTCCTGAGGTAGGAGGCTCCGAGCAGCCTGCAGAGCCACTGCTATGCTATCCATGGTCACAGAGGAAACTTTGTGCAAAAGCCATCATGGAGCCTTCCTGGAGCTTGGCTAACATCAGATAACAGGAGGGGAGCAGTGGATCAAAGTCACGGTTTCTAGAAAGAGAGGGACCCTGTACCCTCTTGTCTACATGGAAGCCACACAAGCCTGTGGTTTCCAGAGTAAAATAGTCCTGACCACCCAGGCTGAAAGAGCTTGAAGGTTGGAACTGAGGAGGAGGCAGGTGATGGGTGTGGACAAACAGGCTCCGGGTCCACGGGGAAGGAGGCTGGGATCTGAGACTGGTCAAAGTGGACACTGAGGAAACTGAATGGTTAGTAGGTAAGGGGCTGGCTAAGCAAGCCTGGAGACCTGAGTTTGATGCCTAGGAGCCATGTAGGGTAGAGACGATGGACCCTATACATTGTCTTATTACCTGTTTTGTATACAATATCCGATGCATATACGATAATGAATAATAATTTTTAAAGTGGAAGCACTGAGACTTCCTCTGTGGCTGTCACAGGTTCTGAACTCATTTCCGATGCTCCTGCGCATCCCAGGGCTGGGTAACAAGGTCTTTGAAGGTCAGAAGAACTTCGTGGCCATGGTGGATAACCTGTTGACTGAGAATAGGAGGACCAGGGACCCTGAAAAGCCACCCCGGAACCTAACTGATGCCTTCCTGGCAGAGATGGAGAAGGTGATTGGCAGCTGAAAGAGGTGGGGTCAGTGGTTGTGGGCTGAGGTCCTGTGAGTTGTGAGGCCAAATGAGTGGGGTCCTGTGTACAACCAGCCCCTGGGCTGCCTGGGGACAATGGGAGGCCATTGCAGACGTCGCTCCCCACTGAGACTACGTTCTCTGTCTGACCCAGGCCAAGGGAAACCCTGAGAGCAGCTTCAATGATGAGAACCTGCGCATGGTGGTGGGTGACCTGTTTGGTGCAGGGATGGTGACCACCTCAACCACACTGTCCTGGGCCCTGCTGCTCATGATCCTACACCCGGATGTGCAGAGTGAGCCTGGCTGGGGCTGGGAAGGAGGAAAGAGAGGCACACTCTGCAGATACCTGTGGCTCCCAACACTAACTTAACCCAGACTCCAGCAGCACTCACAGACATATTTCTTTCTTTCTTTCTTTTTTTTTTTTTTTTTTGGTTTTTCGAGACAGGGTTTCTCTGTGGCTTTGGAGCCTGTCCTGGAACTAGCTCTTGTAGACCAGGCTGGCCTCGAACTCACAGAGATCCGCCTGCCTCTGCCTCCCAAGTGCTGGGATTAAAGGCGTGCGCCACCACCGCCCGGCTTTCACAGACATATTTCTTACACGAACTCTCAGCCTTTAGCATGGTTGTAAGAGAGGAGCAGAGGGAAGCCCCTGGGAATGCTTCACTGAGGGGAGGCTGTTCCTCCAGGCCGCGTCCAACAGGAGATCGATGAAGTCATAGGGCAGGCGCGGCGTCCAGAGATGGCAGACCAGGCCCGCATGCCCTACACCAATGCTGTCATTCATGAGGTGCAGCGCTTTGGGGACATCTCCCCATTGAACTTGCCACGTATAACATCCCGTGACATTGAAGTACAGGGCTTCCTCATCCCCAAGGTAGGAATGGGCCCTCCTCCTATTACATCATGACACTAGCACACAAGGGTGGAAAAGAACAAGAGCAACCTAGCCTAGATTTCCAGCGTGCTTGCAGGACCTACCTGAGTGCACATACATTGCAGCCTTGAGAGTCCTCAGGAACGAGGACTGTCCAATGAGAACAACCAAAGGAGCTTTATGGAAGCACTGCACACAGCGTCAGGCTTGGGCACTCATGCAGACCTGTAACAGGATCCTCTACAGGCCTGAGATGCTTCTGGGGCCGAGCTTACATGAAAAGATCAAATGTATGAGGTAGAGACTGTGCATGTGACCATGGTAACCAGGATATTGACAGCCCTACCCCAATCTATGTTCACACCGTGTGCCTCCTGCCAGGGGACGACCCTCATCGTCAACCTGTCCTCAGTGCTGAAGGATGAGACTATCTGGGAGAAGCCCCTCCGCTTCCATCCTGAGCACTTCCTGGATGCCCAGGGCCGCTTTGTGAAACATGAGGCCTTCATGCCATTCTCAGCAGGTCCTGTGGGATGCTTGGCTTCCCTCCCCCTTCTCAGAATGCCCTGAATTGTGAGGCCAGACCCTTGACTTACTGAGTCCCTCTCCCACCCACAGGTCGCCGAGCTTGCCTGGGGGAGCCCCTGGCCCGCATGGAGCTCTTCCTCTTTTTCACCTGCCTCCTGCAGCGCTTTAACTTCTCCCTGCCCAGTGGACAGCCCCGACCCAGTGACTATGGCAATTTCCCAATTCCAGTTGCCCCCTCCCCCTACCAACTCTGTGCTGTGATGCGCCAGCAGGGACACTAATTCCAGTCCTTTTCTGTAACTAGGGCTGAACCATGAACAATAAACCAGTCTGGTAGCTGCCGCTATTTCCTGCTCCAACCTCAGTCCGTGCCTCTGCTGCATCATCAGACGACAGTAGCCTTTGACAAGCTACTCTTCCCTCCCCAAGGGACAGCTAATGTCGTGAGAAAATGGTTGGCACGAGCCTGCAGGTTCAGCACATGGAAGCCTCAAGCAAGAGGATTACGTGTGTATGAATATCCTGGGACATAAAGGAAGGTCTAAGTTGGTTTGGACTACAGAACCAGGAATCTCTGCCTCATAAAACTAAATGAGAGCTAGAGGAAGAGGGGAAGAGGGAGAATGAAGAGAGGAAAAAGAGAAGGAGGGGGAGAGGAAGGAAGGAGAGGGAAAAGAGGTAGACTGAGGTTCAGGAGTGATGGCTGACCCTATGTCACCCATGAAGAGCCATCAATGAGCAGTGACTCGGGTGGTGACAAACTACAAGTAGAGGTCAGGCCTCCATGGGTCTCAGGGACAGGTGTAATAGGCTTCCACTAAGAATCGGCAGGGTCCCGAGGTGCACGAGCGCCTGGAAAGGCTCCCGGAGCTGGGCGGCTGCTGTTCTCACAGTTATGGCTGCAGAGAAAGGACAGAGAAGAAAAGCACGAGCAGGTAAAGGGACAGTAGAGCTCAGGCATTGATCACACTACCATCTGTCTCAGGTTGAAGACAATGCTCACAGGGACGATCACAGAGTCTCGCTGTCCAGAGGTATGAGGCGTTCCATAGACATGAGCATGGCTTAGGGGAGGAAACACTTGGCTGACCTTAGTCTCCGCACCCTCCGAGTCAGAACTGGGCAATCCGAGGCAGCTTTCCTAAACCCAGTTCCTGGTATAAATGGTGCCAAATGACCTTCAGCCCCAGCTGTGTGGAAACACTGCTACCAACATGTTCTCAGGTAACATCCAGTGACAGGCCCAAGGGACTCAAGCACTTGTCCTGGAATGTGCAGGACAGAACTGCCCAAGCTGAGGTCACATGACTGCCCTGGCCATGCTCCTTGGCATGCAAGGCAAATTGAAGCATTTGTCTGTGTGTCTTTCTGGTTTTATTTTGGTTAGACATCACTAATATTTACCAGCCTTACCACTCTAGTTCTCGTGGTGTTGGGAATTGATCCCAAGGTCTTATGCATGCTCAGCCTGCAGCTCCAGTGAGCCACACCACAGCCCATCCTCCGCATTTGCAGAGCACAGCTCAGGGGCATCAGTCAGTCCCAGTGTGCAGCCACCACCACGATTCCTCCCGAGATCGCTTCATCTGCTAAAACTGGAGCTCTGCACCCCAAGACAGTAGCTCCCCATTCTCTCCTCTGTCCAACCCTAGCACCCAGCATCCCGCCGTCTGTTTCTGTGATGTGACAGAGTGCAGCCTTGCACTGGCTGTCCGTGACTGACCTAAGTCTTCAAGGCGCCTTGGTGTTCAGCAGGCGTCACTCTCGCTCTTTAAAGCTGAACGAGCGTCCACTGTGCGAGTGAACGGTGCTCACCCAGAACTCGTCCTTCTCTAGTTTCAATTACAGCAGAAAACCATGGTCCAAAAGTATTACCTGGAAAGTTCCATAAATGAACAATTCTCAGATTTGGAATTGTGTACTATTCAGAGGAGTCTCACTAAATCTCTTATATTTTTCACCATCGCTCTTACATTGGGAACATAAGGGTATCTTTGTCCCAAGTGTTCATGTTATTAGGGACACTATAAGGGTTTGGGTTACTGGATCTGCCTCTGTAGTACCTGTAGGACCACAGTACGGTCCTGTGGTCAAGGAGGAAGGTGATGGTGTCCTGATGCTGTGTCACAACGCCCACATCCTCATTCCAGCTCATCATCCTTGCATCAACCCGCAGCATCACGTGCAGTATTGTGTGCGTGCAATGAGATATCTGAGAGGAGGATTCCACTGAAATTATAGCTGTCATAGTTATTAGCATTAACCTCTCACCTGACTTATAAAATAAACCTCATAGCTGTGTATACATTTTTAATAGCCTACAGGGCCTGGGGAGATGGCTCAAGGTTAAGAGCTCTTGTTGCTTCTCCAGAGGAACTGAGTTCCATCCCCTATACCTATGTTGGGGACTCATTAGACCTATTACTCCAGCTCCAGGAGATCCAGCATCCTTTTCTGGCCTCAGAACACTAGGCACCCACACACATGTGGCAAACACACAGACACGCGTCTCACTGGCACGTACAGGTATATATAAATTAAACTAAAATACGTCTTTAAAAAACTAAGGGAAAAAAAAAACCTGTATTTTGCTCGGCAGTGGTGGCACATGCATTTAATCCCATTACTCAGGAGGTAGAAAAAGATGAATCTCAAAGGCCAGATAGGTCTACAGAGCAAGAAGAGGCTTCAAAGTTACAGAGAAACCCTGTCTGGAAAAGCAAAAACAAAAAACTGTATTTATGATTTGTTTCTAGGAGCTGTTATAAACATCCCCTAGGGGGTCTCAGATTACAGATTTTTGTCTTTTTAATCCACTACTCAGCTGTCAGTAGGTATTGTTTCCTCCTTCAGCTACTATGATTGATGCTGCTATAGTCATGTGTTTACAGTTACCTTCGTGAGCATCCTTAGAATTCCATATGCATATGTGATTGGTGTGTGCACATTGTGTTGTTTCCATTGATCTCGGGTTACTTTCTGATTTCATTTGCATTGCGACCCTCTGGTTGTTTGACAGAATGCTGTTGCTGATTCACGCATGTGTGTCTAGTTTCCATTTCACTGCTGATATATGCATTTGTAGGCTGGCTCCACAGCAACAAGAAATCCTATTTATGACTTTTTTAAAGACAGAGCCTCACTATGTAGCCTAGGCTGGCCTGAATCGCCTCAAACTTGCAGCAATCCTTCCTGCTGCTGGGATTTCAGGCATATGCTACCGTGACAAACCAGAAGACTTCAGTGTTTAAGAAGGTATTGAAAGTGGCTTTCAATATGCAATCGATCCAGGAGAATGATCCCGTGCTTTTGGAAATGTGCACATGCTGAGGCTGGGTGTCTCTCTTGCCTAGGAGGGCCAGCTGATTCACAGTTCTGCGCTAATTGGTTCAAACCTGCATTTCCTTAAGAAGCCTCTGTGTGGTGTTTCTATCTACTGTTGACAGTCAGGTATCAAACCCTCATCTATGACTGTACAGTTATCTCCTCCTCGGGAACTTGCCCTTTTACGCCATCTACTTGGTCTCTCTTGTTCCATACACACAGCCAGATGTCACTTTCGGAGGTAACTGGTCTGAGAACTGCATTATCTCCACACTGCATCCTTGAGCAGACACTATAGAGTATTTACAGAAACGAAGGTGGCCGTGAGGTCACCTGGTGACGTAATCCTATAGGATACAAGCATCTATACCGTCTGTCCTTGACTAACATCATCAATATGTGGTGTGTGACTGTGCATTTGCAGTTTCTGTATCTTCTTCCCGCCATAAACTTTTAATCATCTATTAAACTCCAATACAGCCACCTCTGTTTGGTTACCTTTTGCACTGAACAAATTTCCGATGTTTCCAGTTTCAACTTCTTTATTTCATTTTTTCTGATGGCTCTCTTGAAACCAGCATGCACGTGGATCTCATTTCTTAACCGATTTATCAGTCTCTGCTTTCAATAAGAGGGTTTAACTCAGGTTCACTTCAATTAATCTTCAATTAATTACTGAGATGAAATCCCTGCTAGTTCAGTTTTAGCTGTCACCTTGACAGAGTCTGGGGTCACCTGAGAAAGGAGTCTCAATTGAGAGAATCCTGGGCCATACTGACCTGCAGGCATTTCTTTGTGGTCTCCTTAATTGTTAATTGATATATGAAGGCCCAACCAACACAGGTGGCATCATTCCCCGGGCAGGACGTCCTTGCTGGATAAGAAAACTAGCTAAAGACAAGCCTGTGAACCAGCTAGCATGCAGCATCCTCTATGGTTTCTGTGTCAGCTTCTGCCCTGGCTTCCCTCAGTAATGGACTGTGACCTGGAGGTGGAATCTGAAATCATCCCTTTCCTCCCCAGAGTATCTTTTGGTCCAAGGGTTCATAACACAGCAACTGAAAGCAAGCAAGGACTCGTACCTACTCCACTTAGTATTTTTACCTCTGCATTCCTCCTATCGTCCCCTTAACTCCCACACCTTTGCCTTTTGGGACTTAGTTGATATTCTTAGTGTTCCTCTTTGGTTCTCTTCTCGTGTTTGTACATTTTGTTTTTCATTATTTACCTTGGGGATTAAATCACCATCTTTTAATGCTCACTATTAGGGTGTGTACATGGGATGGGGGAAGACATGCCCCTCAGCGAATACAGAGGTCAGAGGATAACTTCTGGGATATGGTTCTCATCTTCCACCTTGCTGAGGCAGGATCTTGCTTCTTTCTGCCCCAATACACACTCCAAGACAGTGAGTGTCCAGATGGCAATCAACACCTTAAACTTATAAAACCCTTGTTTGAGTATCAATTTCCTTTCTGTAGTATACACGGACGTTGCATCTCGGTCCCTCTAACACTATACTCTCATTGCCACAGATTGCACATTTACACTTGTGAGCACAGATTTGTAATTATTGTTTTATGTGTTGGTGTTTGCAGCCACACAGGCAAAAAGAAAGGAATTACAGCCCCGAAGCACACTGACACTTTTATTCCCGGTGTTGTTACCCTGCCCTGTGCTCATTTCTCCTGGGGCTTTGAGTTAACTGCTGGCATCATTTCATTACAGCCTGGAGAACTCCCTCTACTGTGCCTTGTAAGGCAAGTCCACTGATACCGATTGCCTTCAGTTTTTATCTGGAAATGTCTTGCTTTCTACTTAATTCCTGAAGGATAATTTTTCTTGACAAAACATTCTTCAGGATTTGCATGTGTTTTCCTGTATCTTCTGCTCTCCATAGTCTCTGACGGGGAATTGACTGTTAATCTCATCATGGTGTCCCCAAGAACCATCTGTGACCAACTGTAAACCAGGCTTCTCTGGGAGCACAAGCTATAAAGTCCCAAGTGGTCTCTGGGTACTTGGAAGAGACTGCAAGGCTCTGACCTAGGACCTGTCAAAACTAAGGCCTCTTCCTCAGAGCTCCTCCTCATTTTGGATCCCCTCCTTGGAACTCCTCCCCCTCCTCCTCAGAGTGTCCATCACCTCCCCGAGTGGCTCCTCCTCCTCAGAGACCCGCCCCTCAACCCCCCCCCCCCCCCCCCCCCCCGGCGTGGCTCCGCCTCCTCAGAGCATTCCCACCTCCTGGAGTGGTTTCTTGTCCCCAAAAAGTCACCTCCTCCTCAGAGCGTCCCACTTCCTCCCCCTGTGCCTTCCTCTTCAGAGTTGCTGCTTCTCACAGCAGCCCTCCTCCTCAGAACTCTTGTTCCCAGAGCTCCTCCTCCAGTTCCTCCAGGGCTCCAGAAAACTTTGCTTCTCTGCTGGGCTTCAGACCTGCTACTGTCAAGGCTGGGCTTGTGAGTCTGCCACTCTGCTGCAGAAGAGGTGAGAGACAGACCCCCACCCAGCCCCTGAACTGGGGCGACCTTTGCACTAGAGCTTGGCAGTCACTCCTCTTTGGGCCAGGTGCTTTTCCATGTTAGGGTGGGCTGAGAGGAACCCCAGGGCCTCTTGTCACTTGAGTGTGGATGGAGCAAGCAGTTTTCCTTTGTCCCAGGCTAAGGCTAAGATGCCAGAACCACCCTGGATCTGATAAAGAGCAGGTTCCTGGGGCTCACCCCAGAAGTCACAGGGCCCCGGAACAGGAGCATAGCCAGGCTTCAGGGCTGAGGACCTTGCTCTGAAGACAGCAGGGTGGAGACCCTACCCTGGGCCTTTGTATAACTTTCCCTTTGGAGTGTATTCTGGGTCTGTGAACACAGGCAGTACCTAAGCAAACCAGACCTCTCTCCAAAGACCCTGCTTCTTGTCCTTTGGGGTTCACTGAAGGAAGAAGGGGCTGGTGACTGGGCCCTTTCCAGCTGTGATTGTTCCCTTTGCCCCTGGAATGTTGTTGTCAGTGACTGGCCATCTTAGAAGACCCATTAACATTAATTAGGAAACACTAAAAGAAATCTACACTGAGCCAAAAATCTCAGCAGTCGGGTGGCAGGAGCAGGAGAAACTCTGAGTTCTAGGACAGCCTGGCCTTCATGTCTGCATGTGAATTCCAGGACAGCCAGAACTACATAGTGAGTTCCTGTCTCAAAACAAACAAGAAAAGGGAAACAGAAACAAGAAATTCTACACTAAACATACAAGGAATTTGACAGGAAACGACCACAGACCACCAACTAGAATGCACAATTAATATCCTGTTGTACTTTAGCACTGTTATCTCCTGGTCTTGGTGTGTGAAGTCAGCAGCAGATACTGCTGTACTCCCCTCTGCAACAGTCCAGCCTGTGTCTCCTCGCTAGTCTTGGAATTCTTTCCTGTTAAATGACTCAAGTCCTAGAGATTTGCTTTCCTTTCCAGTTATTTGTTTTGTGGTTTTGAGACAGATTTCATACTGAAGCCTAGGTTGACCTCAAAATCAATACAATCCTCCTGCCTCGGGCCCCCAAATGCCGAGATTACAAGTAAGCTACCAGGTGTTTTTAAAGTATTTCTTCCTCCCAGCCCTGAGGATGTGAAGGGGTTGGAGATTTTGGTTTTTTCTGCAGGCCTGTGCCCACGGCATCTGGAAAGAGTTGAACTGGGGTTCCGAGGAGGCTCTAAAAGCAGCTGCCCACCATTTAGCTTGATCCTAAGGACAGACATAGAGTGTGCAAATAATGCTTCAAAGAACAAAACTTTTTGGAATAACTCTTATGGAACAAAATGCTTCCCGAGGGACTGAATGGAACGTTTTCCAAAACCTTAGCTGACTGTTTGGCAGTGAGTGCAGTGGCCACCGGCCTGTGCTCTGTTAGATCTTTATGCTGTTCGCTCGCCCAGAGTGAACCTGCTGGTTACATGCCTGACTTCTAAGCTCTAGGGCACAGCTGGCAAGACCTTGCTGGTGATGAATTAGAGGTTATGACTTTGAGAGCATGAGTCCAATACTTCCTTGCTCAGCTACAAACCCCTCACCCTATTCAGCTGTGTGTGAGAGAGAGAAGAGACGTACCCTGTGAAATTTGTCTCCACTGTCAGAAACGCTGTTCAAAGGGAAGGCTGTCTTTTTACGCATAGAGGACACAGTTTGGGGTATTTGGCAGTTAGCGTCCTGACATTTATTCTGCTGCCTATGTCCTGAAAGTAGACGGGCCTTTGAGAAGGCAGCACTCAGGGGTGCACAATGGAAGACTGTGGTCCTACTGTGGGGAGAAGAGGACCTGTTTTGAGCTTTGCTAAAAACGGCCTTGTACCCCACAAGAGTACTCAGAAACAGACTAGTGAAATGGAAGTGCTCCAGTTTCTAGGACACCGCACAGGTTTCTGTCCCTCTGTCTGTCCGGTCAGAGTTCTCCCTCAATCATTCTCTTTCTGGGGGACTGAAGTAAAGAGCTGCACAGTAGAAGGAGGCCCATCCCCCTCTCCTCCAGCAGCGCTGCTCCCTCAGGGAAGATGCTGACCCACTTGTAGTAATAGGAGCGGCGTTAGCCAATGATTTTCCTCCATCACCCACTCCTGAGCCGGTGCCCTGCTGTGTATTGTCACTGCCTGTCCTGCTCTGTAACATCAGGCAAAGCTCTGGGGTTTAAAAGGAGGATCCCAGGATCATACTGCCTAGGGTCAGGGTTGACAGACCACACAGGAGGTCCCACTCTGTCATTCTGAAGCAGGTGCCTTCCCAGAGTCTCGCTGGTCACATCTGTGATAGGTGAGAAACGACACTTAGCCAGGCAAAGACCTGTGTCTGCTGTGTGCGTTTCATCCATTTTCCCTTGGCTCCAGACAGAAACAGCAACGGGAGACCATGCAACATGGCAGAAATGACAGTGGCATCCTGACCCTTTTCATGAAAGCAGTCATGATGCCTTTTGGCAATATTGGATCATCTTCCTAAACACATTTCATGTGACTATCGTGGGGTTCCTGATTCATGGGTGCTATAAGCCTTCTGCTTGGTCTACCTGTTGGGTGGTACAGCATTGCTACTTTAAGCAGGCATCATGTCTGTTTGGTCAAAATTCTGTGTGTGAAGTAATGTTTTCAATAAATGCTAATCCCCTCAAATCTGAATCTAGTTCCTATGTTTGAATTTTTCCTTCAAAGAGAAAGAGACGAGGACAGGTGACATAGCTAGATGGCTAGATTAGAGTGCAGGGGTCATCTTGAATGTTATCATTTCAGGGGGATTTAGTGAATAAAGAACAACAGCCTCGCTGTTTGCAGGGACAGACAGAGATTGTGTGCAGTGTGTATGTGCTCTGTACCCACTTGGACATTCTTACTTGTCATCCAGGGAGACAACAGCATAGACATGGTTCTCACAGCTAGGGAAGCAGCCAGAGCTCCTAAGTGACTTCCTCAAGGTTGCCAAATAATGCGGTGGTCGGAAACAACAGAGAGGGTGGGGGGAGGACAGAGAGGGAAACTTGTGTGCTCTCCCTTAGGGCTGTGATTTCTACTCAGCGAGGCTGATTGTAATTCAACAAAGGATGTGTTCTTCCTGTTTGGATCTTTGCCCACAAACAAAGGCATTTTCATAAAAGGCCAATGGAAAGTATCTTGGTTTCAGACAGCCATAATCTGCCTTAGGGGCTGTGAGCTTTTTAGGTTAGGAGTAGAACAGGAAGCTAATGTCAAACTCACTGACTTGCAAACTTGTTCAGATGGTACAAAGAAATATAATCTTCATTCTAGTGGGGCTGGAGTAGACAGTGATGGGTCTGGGTCACTAGGAAAATTGCAGAATTTTTTTCTTTAAATTTTGATGACTAAGTGAGATAGAAGGCCTGGGAGCTTTCTCTACAGTGTGCAGTTACTAGCAATTACCAACTACTCAAGCTGTACAGGGATGAAAGCTGTCTGGCCTGGCTTCTGGCCATCCAGTGTGATGAGTAGCATGTGGCAGACTGAAACAGGACCTGTGGGATGGGGAGACACCACACAGGAGCCCAGCCAAGCTACGTGCTTGTCCACTGGCTCAGTTCATAGTACCTGTGCTCCTTGACTCTTCTGAGAAATTGGCTCTGAACAATGTAATGCACATCCATGCACTGAAGCTCTGGCTGGGAGGCAAGTCCTTAATCATGACCTCCTAATTCCCTATACCATCAGTGGTCACTGCCCTGGACCTGCAGTTTTCTGACATTCCTCCTGAAGAGCTGTTGAATAACAGACTTTTCCTGGGGAAATGCAACTCATACACACACACACACACACACACACACACACACACACACACTTCTGTTCAACCCAAAAGTGGGATACACGACAGACCAAAGTAACACCACCACAGTGTGATAAACTAATGGTTTTTTACTGGAGTTACTAAGAGGCATATGGGGTGAAGGGTTTCTTACAAGGAACAGGGATGAGTTAAAAGCAGCCACACCGCCTAAAAGTCCACCCCAATATAGTGATATTTTATATATGTTTTAATAAATAAAGTTTGCTGGAAGATCAAAAGGTAAAACTAAGCCACCAGAGGCCAGGCCGTGGTGTTAAACACATTTAATCCCAGGATTTGAGAGACAAAGGCAGAAGGATCTCTGTTGAGTTCAAGGCCACCCTGGGCTTCACAAGATCCATGCAGAAACAGATCCAGGTGGTGATGGCTCACTCCTTTAATTCCAGTACTAGGGAGTCAGGGCTTTAATCCCAGCACTAAAGGGGAATATCAAACAGGACAAGGTAGAGGCTCAGCTCTCTGCAGTCGCCCAGCCTTGGCAGAGGCAAGACTTCTCTAGTGGCTTGACTGCTTTGCTTTTCTGATCATCAGCCTGAACCCCAATTATCTTCTCTGGGTTTTTATTATTCATGCTACACCCCAACAAAATGGTTCATGTTTTCTGGCCCAGTCTTAAAGTTGTCGACTGGTGCAGGGAGGTGCTACTATCCAGAAAAAAAACCCTGCCAGGCCTGTCTCAAGCTCCTAGGCCTCTGTCTTGGGTCAGGAGGGTGAGACAGAAACCAGGAGTGTGCCATCTTTACCTGCCTGTCAGGAATCCGTCTAACTTGGTCTCTCGCATATACATGCACACGTCTTAAGTTCAGGTAACACAGAGAACATACAGCTATAGGAGGAAAAATAAACATGTTTATCTTTTTTTCTCCCCAAGATACAAGGGTTATCTTGTAGATCTGTCTTTTTCTGGAACTGCTCAGTTTCCCATACTGGAGTGTCTTGCAAATCCTTTGACTCGAGGGTCACTCAGTCCCCTCACATGAGGGATTTTTCACGTACCCATTCTAGGGTCACTCAACCTCTCCATACCTGGAGGTTTCACATGACCTCCCACCATACCCAACCACAAAGGCTTACTGAGTTTCTTCACTGACTTTTCATTCTCTGACCCATACATGAGATTTTGTTGTTGTTGTTGCTGCCATGGTTAGAGCAGAGGCCAGCAGAGCTCTGTGATTTCAAAGCCAGGCTGGTCTACAAATTGGGTTCTAAGACAGCCAGGAGTGTTACAGAGAGAAATCCTGCCTTGGAGGGTAGGGAGGAGGGTTCCTTATCTTCCTGAGGTTTGCACAAGAAGTATCTTCTAAAAGCCCCTGCACTGAAGCCATGGTCCCTTGGTGGTGGTAATACTGAGAGGTAGCTGGCCCATGAGGGCTTCAGTCTAATAAATGGGTTAATTCATTGATGAGGTCCTAGCAGAATCAAGGCCTGGGTTGAATGTAGTCAGTTATTGGGGTTATGTCACGGAAGGCTGCATCTTGTCCCTAGTGGCTCCCAGCTGTCATGGGATGCACTCTCTCTGCCACATGTTCTCAATACTGTATGCTCTGTCTGTCTGTTCTCAGTACTGTATGCTCTGTCTGTCTGTTCTCAATACTGTATGCTCTGTCTCTCTGTTCTCAATACTGTATGCTCTGTCTCTCTGTTCTCAATACTGTATGCTCTGTCTGTCTGTCTGTTCTCAATACTGTATGCTCTGTCTGTCTGTTCTCAATACTGTATGCTCTGTCTGTCTGTTCTCAATACTGTATGCTCTGTCTGGCCACAACCCCTTAGCAATGAAGCAGGTTGACATGGAGTGAGACTATCACCAAATATCTATCCGCCAAAATAAATCTTTTTATCCTTTTAAGTGTTTCTCTTAAAACTTATTTGTCAAAGAAAACAAAACCCCAAGTAACAATCTTGTGTGCAGAGTAACCACACGGTAGTGTTTGAAATGTCCAGTTTCAAAATAATGAGACAGACCAAAGAGACAGAACGAGTAGCCCATACACGGTGAGTGCAGACTATCCCTGACATTGAAGGCGCTGGATGAAGACTTCAAATCAGCTCACTGAAATCTGTTCAAAATGCTAAAAGATGTCTTTCAAAAGTAAAAGATTGGGGCTGGAGAGATGGCTCTGTGGTTAAGAGCCCTGACTGCTCTTCCAGAGGACCCAGGTTCAATTCCCAGCACCCACATGCAAGTTCACAACTGTCTGCAACTCCAGGTCCAGGGGACCCAATGTTCTCTTCTGGCCTTTGCAGGCACCAGGCATGTACAAGGTACACAGACATACCTGCCAGCATTCACCTATACTCATAAAAAAATTAAAAAACTGAAGTATTAACAAATACCAGTAATGAGACAGAAACTAAGAACAGAGACCAAAAGAAATTCTGTAGTTGAAAATGACAATAATCAAACTGAAAATCCCTTCGGCATCTCAAGAGCAGATCTGAGTAGTCAGAAGTAAGAGTCAGTAAGCATAGAGACTTACAGCAATCTTACTTACTTACAGACTGAGCAGCAGCAATTAAGAATGAAGAGGGAGGGTAGTGATCCAGAAATCCTTATGTTGACCAACTTCTTTGTCGAGCGGGCCCAGTTAAAAATATGATGAAGCAGCTGGCAGACACCTCTCATCTCGGGAATCAGAGGCAGAGGCGGCCAGATCTCTGTGAGTTCAAGGCCAGCCTGGTATACAGAAATATTTCCAGGACAGCCAGGGCTACACACAGAGAAACCCTGTCTCGAAAAAAAAAATTTTTTTTTTGATGAAGCCAATAATCTCTGTGTATAAGAAATTCCAAGGAACTCTGTGGTACTGAATTTAAATTTTCAGCTTGACCTCATTTATCTCTTAGGATGTACCTGAGTGTTTCTGTAAGGAGTTTCCAGTGAGGTTTAACTAAGGCAAAAAGATCTACCTGGATGTTGGTGGTACCACAGATTGAATAAAAAGGGAGAAAGGAGGAAGCGAGCTGGGCATCCCTATTGATCTCCTCCTGCTGTCTGAAGGTGTGTATCTCCTGCTGACTGACTGTTGGAGACTGGCTGTCCCATGCTCCTGCCACCACAGCTTTGAGATGCCCCACCCCCAGGCGTTTCCCATCATGATGGACTGTGTCCTCAGATTGTAAACCAAACCCCAGGTCCTCTGTTGACTCCTGACAGGTATTTCCTTACAGATGTGAGAAAAGTTAACTAATAAAAACTCCTCGGACAGCTTCCACCAGAACAATTTCTGTACAGTTTTAACACAGTTATCAAAGAGCAGAAATCTGGAAGCAGGAAAGAAGCAACTCACCATGAGGGCCTTCAACAGCATTAGCATCTGGTTCCTAATGGCAGTTAGAGGCAGGAGAGACACTGTCCCTCCAGAAGTGACTAGAGATGTTGTAGACTAGAGTTTGTAAAAGGGTGCCTGGGGGCTGAGGGTGGTTCCAGTCCTTGGAAGTACCTAGAGAGGGAAAGAAGGGGAACAGCCTGTGTAGCTGCCCCTTCCTCTGTCCTACCCTGCGTGCTTCTTCTGGCTGCACAGACAAGGTAGCAGTTTGACTCAAAGCGAGGACAAAGGGCATCTCTGCTCCTTTAGAAGGATAAAGCCCCAGATGTTCAAATGCCGAGAATGTGATAAGCATCCCACCTGTGCCAGGTATATGAACTGTGGAAGGCTGCGTGTGTGCCCTGGCATCCCTGGGGTGGGCTGCTGGTCAGGGAAACTTTCTGTAGCCTGACCTTGACCAGCTTCCTGCTCCTAGAGGACTTGATGCACTGATATCAGAGATCAGCTATTGCCCTCTTCCCAGTGCCCCTCACTCACCATACCAGGCTCCTGGCCCCACAGCCAAGTGTCCTGCTGTGCCATTCAGGCTGCTCACCCACTGCCAACCAAGTCCTCCAATGAAGCCTCCAGGAAAGTCCCACTCCAGACTGAGGCAACACTCCAAGCCTCTCTAAGTTCTGTTGTCTGTATACCTCCTCTTAATCAAGTGCCTGAGCAGGGGGAGACCTGCCCACAAAGGACCCAGTACCCAGATAAGCACAAGCAGCATGCTAAGCTTACATGGTTTCCCCAGGTTTCTGTCCCCGTCCCCTACATAAGCTGTTAAAAACCTAGAGGGCGGGTATCTCTAAGGCTACCCTGCCCCTGGCCTGCCTGGCACTCTGAACTGATAACACAGCAGCTTGGCTATAAAGCAGAGGACAAAGGGCAGCATTGGCTCCTCTCTAAAGGACCAGCCCAGGCCAGGGGAGTGCCAAGCGTGTGATAATACTGTTTTTCCTGGTCCTAGGGGCTGGAGTGAGGACCAAGAAGTGTTTCCAGACAGCATAGGGGCAGGCATGGGGCTGCTGACTGGGGCTGAGCTGTGGTCCGTGGCCATATTCTTGGTCATCTTCCTGCTTCTGGTGGACCTAATGCACCGGCGCCACCGCTGGACTGCCCGCTATCCACCAGGCCCTTTGCCATTGCCTGTGCTTGGGAACCTGCTGCAGGTGGACTTCCAGAATATGCCAGCAGGCTTCCAAAAGGTAAGGGAATTGTTGGAGGTCAGGAGAGGTCATCAGAACACAGTGGGTGGTAGTGCAACTTCCTGCTGCACAGGAGCTGGTCCACAGGACAAAGCAAGTGAAGAGGCTTCCTTCCATTGCGGAGATTGGTGCAGGACTTGAGGACACCCTGAACTTCCCAAAGGCAATGGCCAGGAGGTGGGATGGGACCTAACAGCCAGTCTGAGATCTAGTGAACATGACAGAATATAGTGGGTGGTGATGGTGCTGGGGCTGCATCCTAATTCCAACATGCCTGTAATTGGGAGACTAAGGCAGGTGAGTTATAAATTTCAGGCCACCTTAAGCTACATAATGACACTATCTCTAAAACCAAAACTTGAGAGCCAGGTGTCACGGTGATGCATGCCTCGAATCCCAGTACTTGGGAGGCAAAGGCAGACATATTTATTTGCATTCTAAGCAAGCCTGGTCTATCATATTGAGTTCCGGGCTAGCCCATGATACAAAATGAGAATGTTTCAAAAACAAACTCTAAAATCTTTAAAGGAATGAAAGCCCAATACAGTGGTACAGATCTCTAATCCCAGCACTCAGAGGAGGCAAAGGCAAGCAAATCTCTGAGTCCAACACCAGCGTGGTCCACATAGCTAGTTCCTACACAGCCCTGACTACATACTGAGACCTTGGCTCAAAAATGCACACACACGCACGAACACGCAATAAAAATAAAAGGAAAATCGAGTTATATAGGTCTCACATTCCTTTCCATTCTTCCAGATGGAAATGTTTTGAGAATGTGGGAGAGGCCATGATCCTGAACAAGTGTTTCTGTCAGGAAATCAAAGTTGAGAGAGGTGCAGCTACTGTTTCCATCCTTTCGCTAGTTCAGATTCTCAGACTCCTTACTAACACCATGAGTCTTAGTTTCCTCATTAGACATGAGGATGCTAGTAGATCACTTGGCATGTGCGGCCCTAGCAAGATCATGGTGCAGGGATGATAAAGAGTTGTAGGTGACTCCCTAGACAAATAATACCAGATTTCATCCTTCTGTGAGACTCACTACTGGACCGCCCTGCCAGGACCTATCAGTACAGCTAAGCACAGGGATCCAGGCTTGCCAGTAATGCACTGACTCCTTGCCTACAGCTGCGATGCTGCTTTGGGGACCTGTTCAGCCTACAGCTGGCCTTTGAGCCAGTGGTTGTCCTAAATGGACTGACAGCCCTGCGTGAAGCACTGGTGAAACACAGCGAGGACACTGCTGACCGGCCACTACTGCATAGCAGTGACCACGTGGGCTTTGGACCGCGTTCTCAAGGCAAATGCAGAATATGACAAACGTGGAGGGAAATGGAAACTGGAGAGGGTTCAGGGATTAAAGACAGTTTGGGACCAACTGTGGGGGAGGGACAGGCACAGGGAAAAGACAGCAAGGGCAGACAGGATGGACAGAGGATCTTACAGTAGTGATAAAGACTACAGCGGCAATAAAGTGGGGCAGGAGCAGAAAAGAGGACGAGGTTCTCAGGCCTAGGTGCGGTCCTCCAGGTGTACTCCAAGCACAGTACGGGTCTGCCTGGCGTCAGCAGCGGCGCTTCTCTGTGTCCACCTTTCGTCACTTTGGCCTGGGCAAGAAGTCACTGGAGCAGTGGGTGACCGAGGAGGCCAGATGCCTCTGTGCTGCCTTCACCAACTATAATGGTAGGTGATGGATTGGTGGGTACGAGTGTGGATAGACAGCAAACACCCTGACCGGCATTTCCACTCACAGGACACCCTTTCAGCCCTAACGCCCTATTGGACAAAGCAGTGTGCAATGTGATCGCATCCCTCCTCTATGCATGCCGATTTGAGTATGATGACCCACGCTTCATCAGGCTTCTGAACTTGTTGAAAGATACTATTGACCAGGAATCTGGCTTCCTGTCCATGGTACCCAGAAAACTACATACAGCGGGGCCTCTCAGGAAGATGATCAACATGCAGGAGTGACAGGGAGAGGGCATTTGGGAGGAGCTAGGCAACTTCAATGGGAGGGGAGAGGATAGGCTGGGGACAAGTGCTTGGAAATGGGGAGTACCTGTGGAAGGCACACAAGACTGCAATTTCCGCAGTATGATAGCCCTTCCGGAAGCTCAGGGCGAACAGGAAGTTTAGAGACTCACACTGGGAGGGACTACGTCACTAGTTCATCCTGGAGGAGTCTGGGAACAAGGCTGTTCTAGGAGAGCACAGCACAGGAAGCACCCAGATCCTCTCTGTTGTTCACAGCTCTTGAATGGGATCCCGATGCTCCTGAACATCCCAGGGCTGCCTGACAAGGTTTTCTCTGGAAAAAAGGCCTTCATGGCCCTGCAGGATGAACTGCTAACTGAGCACAAGATGACCCGGGACCCTACCCAGCCACCCCGAGACCTGACTGATGCCTTCCTGGCAGAGGTGGAGAAGGTGATTGGCAAGAGATGGGGCCAGGGGCTGTGGGCTGATGTCCAGTGTATCCCCAAGTGACTCAGCACCTGGTTTGCTTGGGGACAATGGGAGGCCGCTGAGGGTCTACCTCTCCCCACTGAGTCTACCATTTCTGCTTGCTCAGGCCAAGGGAAAACCTGAGAGCAGCTTCAATGATGAGAACCTGCGTATGGTAGTGGCTGACCTCTTCATGGCAGGAATGGTAACCACTTCTATCACGCTGTCCTGGGCCCTGCTGCTCATGATCCTGCACCCGGATGTGCAGAGTGAGTCTGGCTGGGGCTGGGAAGAAAGGAGGAGGGGTGAGGCACACCCCTTAAGCTCACCTGGGACACTTGACCCAGACTCCAGCAAGGGTGACAGCCATCTTTCTCCCATGGACCCAGCCCTTCACCAGAGGTAGTAAAGGAACAAGGGGCATCTGCCTGGGGCCCCTTAACCGGGGGGGATGTTGTTTCTCCAGGCCGTGTCCAACAGGAGATCGATGAAGTCATAGGGCAGGCGCGGCGTCCAGAGATGGCAGACCAGGCCCGCATGCCCTACACCAATGCTGTCATTCATGAGGTGCAGCGATTTGGTGACATCCTCCCACTTGGAGCGCCTCACAAGACATCTCGTGACATTGAATTGCAGGGCTTCCTTATCCCTAAGGTAGGCCTGAGGCCCTCCAATGTCCAGTCAGTGTTACCAGCCAGCTGGTATCTGGAATCTAGGCAGTCCATTCTCAACTGCACAGTACCAACTTCCCCTGGTGAGTATGGGAAGTGGAACAGTAACAAGAACTGTACAGCAGAACCCCAGCTAGAAAATCGAGCAAGCTAAAACATGGCTGGGGTGGTTGTAGCAGTCACTACCTACAAGTACAGGTGACAGTGTTTATACCTATGCCACCTGTCACTTATCCCTGTCTTAGTATCAAAGAGAGTGCTAAGAAGCTTCTAGGGCTGAGGTTACATGAAAGGATTAAGTATTTGAGGTAGAGACTGTACATGTGATCATAGTGTCCCCATCCCGGTCCATGTTCACACTGTGTGCCTCCTGCCAGGGGACGACCCTCATCACCAACCTGTCCTCAGTGCTAAAGGATGAGACTATCTGGGAGAAGCCCCTCCACTTCCATCCTGAACACTTCCTGGATGCCCAGGGCCGCTTTGTGAAACATGAGGCCTTCATGCCATTCTCAGCAGGTCCTGTGGGGTACCTGGCTTCCCTCCCATTTCCCAGAATGCCCCGAATTGTGAGGCTAGACCCCTGTCTGACTGAGTCCCTCTCCCACCCACAGGTCGCCGAGCTTGCCTGGGGGAGCCCCTGGCCCGCATGGAGCTCTTCCTCTTCTTCACCTGCCTCCTGCAGCGCTTTAACTTCTCGGTGCCTGCTGGACAACCCCAACCCAGCGACCATGGGGTCTTCAGGGGTATGACAGCTCCATCCCTGTACCAGCTCTGTGCTTTTCCCCGCTAAGAGGAAGGACGAAACCTCACTGCCCTGCTGAGGTCCTAATGTGCAATAAATCATTTTACTCTGAACTAAACCATCCCCATGAGATCTCCAGGCTGGAATGGGATCTGGGTAGGCTCCCGTGGACATTCACAACTCCCTACTTATTATTACATGACCATGTGACCCCATGGGAAGGGCTGGTCTGTTGAACCTCAGAGAATGATACCTACCCCTACCTTTTCCCCCTAACACTCACTTTTCTCACCCAAATTTGTTGAAGGAGCGGCAGGGCTGCGTTCTGGCCGCCCTGGCTCCTGCCCGGCTATCTCAGTCAGTAGAGCATGAGACTCTTAATCCCAGGGTCGTGGGTTCGAGCCCCACGTTGGGCGCCATTCTGTTGTATGAGCTGCGGGCCTCTTCCCACAGCCCAGCTCCCAGCCACCAGCTAGCTTATACCCCAAAATAACAACACACAAACTGTATTCATTTATACACTGCCTGGCCCATTTCTATTAATGTGTGTAGCACTGAGGTGCACTTACCGGGAAGATTCTAGCCTATGTCCATCCTGGGTCAGAGCTTCATCGCGTCTGCTCCAGAGAGGAGAGCTATCGAGTCTGAGCTCACTTCCTCTTCCTCCCAGCATTCTGTTCTGTTTACTATACCCACCTATGTTCTAACCCATCAGGGCCAAGCAGTTTTTTATTAGCCAATGACCTTCCTCTATCACAAACTGATAATGTTTGTACATAGATGCCAACACCTGGAAGCAGAGCCAGAAAGGACTGCTGATAGGTGACAGTGTCAGTTACACAGAAGGGAAGGCAGGATTCCTCCTAGAAGCCCCCATCTCAGACCCCCTTCCACCTGCCACACACCTGAGGCTAACTGCTCAGTGAGCATCATCACAACTACTGCTTAACTTCCACGACATTCTAGAGCTGCAGAGAAGTCAGGAAGGCTGGAAATGATATGCCAGGTTAAGTGCCCAAGGTTAGTCATCAGGGACCAGCTGGTTCCTTAAAACACTTTATTGGTGTCCAGTATGGGTTACCTCCCAAGCTTCTTAGTTACCACTATGACCCATCTGGGTTACTGGTGTCCAGGCCCCTGCACAAAGCTTGGTAGAACCAGCAAGCTCGGTGTTGTAACAGGCTCCCAGACCTTAGTAGATCCCCAGACCTTAGCACAACCTTCTCCAGGATGGAATTACCATTCATGCCATAAAACTCAGCACACTGACAGCCCCTCTTGCCATAATGAAAGCAAACACCCAATCCATCGAAGTCCATAGTTCTGGGAAAGTCTCTAAATGCACTAACCTTGCTTTTTGGCTTCTGTAGTTTTGCTTCTGGCTAACTCTTCTTATTAACTGATATTTGTCAATCCAGGATATGGGTTTTTTTTTTCTTAAAAAAGTAAAAAAGAAAAAAAAGCTCACCCTTAGAAAAACTCAGGACTGCACTGGGATCCTGAACACTTAGTGTAGTCACCAGCCAGCTAATAAAGACTTTCTATTGGCTTAGACCTGTGTCTGAGCAGTCTTCTCTAGTGTATACCCCCACAATATTTCTAAATGTTCGGGGCTGGAGAGATGGCTCAGAGGTTAAGAGCACTGACTGCTCTTCCAGAGGTCCTGAGTTCAATTCCCAGCAACCACATGGTGGCTCACAGCCATCTGTAATGAGATCTGGTGCCCTCTTCTGGCCAGAAAGGATACAGACAGACAGACAGACAGAACACTGTATACATAATAAATAAATCTTTAAAAAAATATTTCTAAATGTTCTACCAAGATCCCCAGAGTCTAGACCTTGAGACACTGGGGGTCTCAGATCCTCAGAGCAGAGAAGAGTGCAGAGGTCAAGGAACTCCTAGGGGATGCAGAACAGGAAGACTTTCCAGGACCCTATGACTCCCTTTGATCCACCTCTGCCTAAAGTTTTGGAGGAGTCTCCTCCATTCCAATAGGAAAACAAATTCTAATGCCACCTGGTCTGTTACCTGCAGAGGTAAGTCTGGGTAAGGAGCCTTCTGTTTAAAGTACAACAGGTGCTGCTGATCCAGCGTCTGGGATCCATGTGAGATATCACCAGACTCCCTTGGTCTGCTCTGGTGTATGAACGTATGGTGGCCACCCCTGGTTGTCTTTACTGTGTGTCTCTGTGCATCTCTATTCCTGTCAGTTCTGTTGACTGGGGAAACATCTAAATGGTAGGATCCTGCCCCAGTCCTCTCTCCATGGTCTCACAGGTAGCATCTGCTGCTGTTGCTGTGGCAATGCTGGCAGCAATGGTGGCCATGAGGCCCACCTCAATCTAGGTTCCTGGCCTCCCCAAGCACAACAAGCTGCCCCCATTCTCGTATTGGTGGGGTCGAGCATCATGTGCTCCACTGCGGTTGAAACTTGAGCCCTAGTTATGGGGAATAAAAACTTTAAAAAAAAACTCAATACTCATGGAAGCATAGACTTGGGCCATCTAAAAATTCTTCTTCTAGTCTGGAAGTCCAGTTAGATTCTTTAACCGAGTTTGTTCTTCAGAATGAAGAGGGATTCGACCTCTTCTTTATGAGACAAGAAGGTCTCTATATAACACTTTAAAAAGCCAACAGAAACAAAAAAAAACAACAAAAAACTTGTTACTTCTATGCCAGTCAATCATAGATAATCAAAAAGATTTAGCCATGATCAAAAATAACCTTTAAAAAAAACAAGAGAAGAACATCAAAATCTAACAACTGATACCAGTCTCTGTTCTGGACCCCTGGCTAATTATTATATTTAGGTTGGACCAGTCATTGGTTGGTCACTCCTACAAATTCTGCACCACTTTGCCCCACCACATCTTGCAGGCAGGACAAATCGTAGGTTGGTGTCACAATCCCTCCACTATACCTTGCCTGGGTATAGAAGATGGCCAGTTCAGGTTCCCTATCTCCCATTACTAGGAGTCTTTCCTAGAATCACCCTCATGGAATCCTGGGAGTTACAACTACACTAGTTTTATACCTCACCATTGAAATACCCCCCAATTCCAGTCATCTCTCCCAGTTCTTTTTCCCCCAACCCCCCATTCCCCCGTTAGTATCCCCACCCACCCTGAGTTTACCCTTGTAATCTCTTCTATTTCCCCTTCCCAGTGAGATCCATGTGTTCCCTGTAAGCCTTCATTATTATTTAGTCTCTCTGAATCTATGTTTTATAGCATGATTATCTTTAGAATTTCTGGGGTCATTTATATAAAAATATTAAATGCTTAAGAAATTTGTATGCTATCCTTGCACAGTGACCAAGTCAATCTTTTCTGTTCGCTTTTTCCAATTTTACTTTGTGTGCTACAGAAGCAAGAATAAGTCTTGATAAATTTTAAAGACTTGTGTGTGTGTGTGTGTGTGTGTGTGTGTGTGCGCGCGCGTGTGTGTGTCACATGTGTTCAGATGCTCAATGGGGACTAGAAAAGGGTACTGGACTCCCTACTGCTAGAGTTGAGTTATAGTAGTTTGTGAACCCGATAACATGGAATTATACAGAGAGTTTCAGGTTGCCAGGTTAAAATATAAAGGAGGGGAGAGAAAAAAAAGAAGGAAAGAAAAAATTCACAAAATAAAAGTCATCAGTAATATGGTGGTTTAGCTCCCATAGGCTCATATATTTGAATGCTATGTCCCTAGGTGGTGGAACTGTTCTGGGAAGGATTGGGAGGTATGGCCTTATTGGAGTAGGTGTGGCCCTTGTTGGAGAAGATGTGTCACTGGTGGTGGGCTTTGAGGTTTCAAAATCCCAGGCCAGGCCTTGTCTCTCCCTGTCTCTAACTTGTAGCTAAGATATAAACTCTCACTGGGTGATGTTCGCACATGCCTTTAATCCCAGCACACGGGAGACAGGGGCAAGCAGATCTCTGTGAGTTCAAGGCCAGGCAGGTCTACAGAGTGAGTTCCATGACAGACAGAGATACACATAAAAACCCTGTCTTGGAAAAACCGAGAGAGAAAGGGGGGGGGGCTCTCAGCTACTGCTTCAGTGTCATGCCTGCCTGCTGCCATGCTTCCCACCAAGATGATCATGAACTTAACTCCCTGAAACTGTATGCAAACCCCCAATTAAATGCTTTCTTTTATAGGTTATCTTGGTCATAGTGTCCTCACAGCAATAGAACTGTAACTAGAACAAATAGTGAATATACAACCAATAATTATTAAGTGCTGTGTGCTGAGCATAGTTGTGCATGTTGTACTTTGAAGTACTGTAAGTTTATTTACATCACCCTAAGATATCCATAATGCATGGTGCAGTTACCATATTAGAATGTCATTAGGCAGTAATTCTTCAGCTCTACTATACAGCATAAAATTAGTTATATATATGGGGCATTGCTGTATACATCTGTGTGTGTGTGTGTGTGTGTGTGTGTGTGTGTGCGCGCGCGCAGAAAGCAAAGGTCAATCTCTGATGTCCTTCCTTAGGAGCCATCCGGGTTTTTTGTTTGTTTGTTTTGCTTTGTTTTTTGATCATTTCCAGCCTTTTACACTGGTGTTAGGTTTGAAATCAGATCCGTGTCATGCTTGCATAGTGTGCTACCTGGTTTTATGTCAACTTGACACAAGCTAGAGACATCAGAAAAGAAGGAGCATCAATTGAGAAAATGCCTCCATAAGATCCAGTTGTAATGCCGGGCGATGGTGGCGCACGCCTTTAATCCCAGCACTCGGGAGGCAGAGGCAGGCGGATCTCTGTAAATTCGAGACCAGCCTGGTCTACAGAGCTAGTTCCAGGACAGGCTCCAAAGCCACAGGGAAACCCTGTCTCGAAAAACCAAAAAAAAAAAAAAAAAAAAAAAAAAACAAGATCCAGTTGTGAGGCATTTTTTTAATTAATTTATTTATTAAGGATTTCTGCCTCCTCTACGCCACTGCCTCTCATTTCCCTTCCCCTCCCCGATCAAGTTCCTCTCCCTCATCAGCTTGAAGAGCAATCAGGGTTCCCTGACCTGTGGGAAGTCCAAGAACCGCCTACCTCCATCCAGGTTTAGTAAGGTGAGCATCCAAACTGCCTAGGCTCCCACAAAGCCAGTACGTGCAGTAGGATCAAAAACCCATTGCCATTGTTCTTGAGTTCTCAGTAGTCCTCATTGTCCGCTATGTTCAGCGAGTCCGGTTTTATCCCATGCTTTTTCAGACCCAGTCCAGCTGGCCTTGGTGAATTCCCGATAGAACATCCCCATTGTCTCAGTGTGTGGGTGTACCCCTCACGGTCCTGAGTTCCTTGCTCATGCTCCCTCTCCTTCTGCTCCTGATTTGGACCTTGAGATTTCTGTCCGGTGCTCCAATGTGGGTCTCTGTCTCTGTCTCCTTTCATTGCCTGATGAAGGTTAATATTCAGGAGGATGCCTATATGTTTGTCTTTGGATTCACCTTCTTATTTAACTTCTCTAGGATCGCGAATTATAAGCTCAATGTCCTTTATTTATGGCCAGAAACCAAATATGAGTGAGTACATCCCATGTTCCTGTTTTTGGGTCTGGCTTACCTCACTCAGGATAGTGTTTTCTATTTCCATCCATTTGTATGCAAAATTCAAGAAGTCCTTGTTTTTTACTGCTGAGTAGTGCTCTAATATGTATATATTCCATACTTTCTTCATCCATTCTTCCATTGAAGGGCATCTAGGTTGTTTCCAGGTTCTGGCTATTACAAACAATGCTGCTATGAACATAGTTGAGCATATACTTTTGTTGTATGATAGGGCCTCTCTTGGGTATATTCCCAAGAGTGGTATTGCTGGGTCCAGGGGTAGGTTGATCCCGAATTTCCTGAGAAACCGCCACACTGCTTTCCAGAGTGATTGCACAAGTTTGCATTCCCACCAGCAATGGATGAGTGTACCCCTTTCTCCACAACCTCTCCAACAAAGGCTATCATTGGTGTTTTTTTTATTGTAAGGCATTTTTTATTCATTTATTTTACATCCCAGCCACATAAAACATTTTTTTAAATTAGTGATCAATGAGAGAGGGTCCATCCCATTGTAGGTGGGGTCATCCCTGGGCTGGTGGTCCTGGGTTCTATACGAAAGCAGGCTGAGCAAGCCATGGGAAGCAAATTAGTAAGCGGCACCCTCCATGGCCTCTGCATCATCAGCTCCTGCCTCCAGGTTCTGGCCCTATGTGAGTTCCTGTCCTGACTTCCTTTGGTGATGAACAGCAATGTTGAAGTGTAAGTCAAGCAAACTCTTTCCTCCCCAACTTACTTTTTGGTCGTGGGTGTTTGATTGCAGCAATAGAAACCCTAGCTGAGATGCATAACAAGCCCTCTGCTGGCTGAACTATCTCTTCCAGTTCCTGTATACAGGGATTGTATACCCACTAAAATAAACAAATACGTGCTGGCAGAATACCTCCATGGGTAAAGGCATTTGCCACCAAGACTAATGACCTGAATTCAATCCCTAGGACCACACGGAAAACTCTTGAAAGTTTTCTTCTGATCTCTACACACACACACACACAATGTTTTTCAAGAATATTAAATGAGAGCTAGAGAGATGGCTCAGAGGTTAAGAATACTGACTGTTCTTCCAGAGGTCCTGAGTTCAATTCCCAGCAACCACATGGTGGCTCACAACCATCTGTAATGAGATCTGGTGCCCTCTTCTGGCCTGCAGGCATACATGGAGGCAGAATGTTGTATACATAATAAATAAATCTAAAAATATATATAAACGAAAAAGAACATTAAATGGAAAAATATCCACTATCCCTTGACAGGATAAAGACTGAGTGATATAGGGTCAAAGCTACACCAGCTGAGTCACACAGCAAGGTCAGCCCTCATCTTCTCAATTCTGTGCCTTGCCGCCCACCCCCTTACTCAATACTTTCAAAGTCCCTATCAACTGAGCTTTCAGAAAAAGGCAGTGGCTTCTCGTCAGGAATCAGGCAGGGAGGTGATCTAATGTGACAAGTGACTGAGGTTCTGCACTGCTTTCCTTGCCTGGAAAGTAAGAATGCTAACAATACTATGCTATGAGATTAAGCTACATTAAACACTTAGGGAACCACTTGTCACTGTAGCGGTTTCTGTTTTCTTCACACTTGACGTCCAGTGATAACCTTATGAGACATGCCAGCAAAGCCAGAGGTCCTCAGAACGGATGATTTAAGGATCCTTCCAGCTTCCACGGTTCCGGATGGAAAATTCCTTGTATAAACAGAGCTTATTAGGCTTAGGTGTACTAGCACCCAAGGAAGTTGAGGCAGGGGAATCAGAAGTGTAAGCCAACCAGGGCCACATAGCGAGTTCCTGTTTCAAGAAATACAACCACGGGGACTAGAGATGGCTCAGCGGTTAGGCACACTGGCTGTTCTTCCAGAGGATCTGGGTTCAATTCCCAGCTCCACAAAATATCTCACAACCGTCACTTCTGGGGGCAAACATCGCCTTCTTCTGGTCTCTGCGGGCACCAAAAACACACGTGCTGCACAGACATACAAGCATGCAAAACCCTCGTACAATAAAACTAAAAAAGAAAAAAAGGCAACCGCAGCCAAGTGCAGTGGGCACACACCTGCAGAGGCAAGGAAATCACTACAAGTTCTGAGGCCAGCTGGTCTACACAGAGTTTCTATCAGACAACAATGAAAAGCAACGCCTACAAGTGAGTTAAAAAAAAATATAGAAATGGAGATTATTACTATTATCTGCCTCCTGAAGCAATGACAAGTAAGGATAGATAGATGATAGATAGATTGATAGATAGATAGATAGATAGAAATTGAGTTATCACTATTATCTTATTATCTGCCTCCCAGGGCTGAGAAACGTTAAAAAATTCAAGCCAGATAGCGCTCTGTCATCTACACCATGTCTGGAAGAAACGGTTTTTCGGACACGCACACAATACGTTCAGCAGTATATACCGTCACTGCGGAAAGACCGCCACGGTGGCGCCGTCATCTACCTCAGAGCCTGCCGCCCGCGGGGCTAAAGGAACAAACTTCTGGGCAGGCCCGGGCGTCGCGCTTCGGACCGCTGACGGAAGCCTGGACGCTGCGCCCCCTGCTGGCTCCGGGAGACCCTCAGCGCCACCTCGACCGCCCCAAGCGCCGGTCCCCGTTCCCTCCTCAAAGCCCGGCTTCCGGAGAGGCTTCCAGCCAATCCACCGCCCTCTCGCACCGCAGAAGGCACGGCGACGCGTCACCTAGCACAGCGCATGCGCGCGCGCCCAGGGGCGGGGCTTCCTTGGCAAGATGGCTGCCAGCGGCTTGCGGCAGGCCGGTGCCGCGGCCAGCACCGCGGTGAAGCCTATTTTCAGTCGCGACCTGAACGAGGCCAAGCGGAGGGTGCGCGAGCTCTACCGCGCTTGGTATCGGGAGGTGCCGAACACTGGTGAGAGGCAGGGGTGCGTCCGGGGCCCTGAGGCACCTGCCCAAGGTCTCACGGCCGAGCTGAGGTCACCGACTAGGGCAGAAACGACTCCTGGCTTTCGGGGGAAGAGGGTCTCGCGAGGCAGACGTGCCCCACACCGGGACACAGCTTCCGAGCGACCTAGCCGCTTTGGTGGCTTTTGTTCCTGTATTCCTTACCAAGCCCCTGGGAGGGGAGAGCAGGGACTGTGGACGACTCTTGATTATAGCTGAGGACACCGAGAGACAAATTGACAGGACCGGGCTCCAGAGCTAGCCCCGGGAGCTTCTGGAACCCAGGGTCAGCTTACAGTTCCAGACATGTTCCAGATGCCCATTGGATTTTGTAACCAAACTGGCGAAGGACTTGCAGTTAGCCATTCCCCATTCTGGAAAACAAACTGGACCATAGGAGGAAAACGACTTGGCCAAGGCCATGCAGTAGCTTCCTGGAGCCCTTGAAAGCCTCCAGGTTTGATGGCTTCTCAGGTCTCCCTAGCTTTGCTAACTCAACTTGCTCTAGTATTTTGAAATCTCATCGCTACTTCTACAGAACACCTCTTTTCCTTGCGATGACGGCGACTCGCTCACCCTGAATGCAGACTGTTATCTTGATGTCTCCCTCAGTGCTGTCACTGTGCTGGATTCTAAAAGGGGCGAGAGTTCAGATGTCAGGGACATCTTTTGTTGAGTAGACGTGTATTTAACATGGATCACCATAGCTGATCTGAGGGGGAAGGCATTTTCTAGTGAGTGACAGACACACCTCAGAGCTACTGAGAGGCAGCAACACTTTCCTCGGGTTCTGCCCTTTATTAGCAGTGTGTGACCTTGGGTAAGACTTTCCATTTGTACTGTTCGCTCACCTGTGAAATAGGCATAATACTGTCTTCTTTAGGGAGTTACTATATTAAATAGGTTACTATAGTAACTGACCAAACCTTGGGGAAGGCACTGACGGGGGTGGAATTCCTCGTTCTTAGAACAGACTGAAGGAGCAAAACCTACCTGAGACCCATGTTTACTTGAGAGCACTTTGGTTTCTCTAGGTCGGATGCTTCACAAAAGTGAGATTCTAAATTCCAGGTTCTGTGTCAGTGTGCATTTGTTTAGTGTCCTGGTCATCTTACAGCCCCATTTTTTTTTTTGTTTTTATTTTTTCCAAAATCCCTCAGCTACTCTCTGAGAGCCTAAATTTATAGTGTTTACCATTTCCAAGATCACTGAATTTGAGTATGATGAAAGGCTCAAACTTGATTTAAACACAGCTGTCCCTAACTAATGGTTTTCAGAAATTATTATGACTTTGGGGGGGGTACCTTTTTGTGACTTTGTTCTTTTGTTTTTTCTGGGACAGTGTCTCAGTCTGTGCCCTTGATTGGCCTGGAACTTGCTGGACTAGACAGGCCCTAAACTCATAGAGATCCATCTGCCTCTGTGTGCCACCACACTGGGCTTGTTTTTGTTTTTGTTATGCTTTCCCTCAGACCTTTGATCCACCAGCCTAAGTTCCCAATGCTGGGATTGCAGGCATGTACCACTGTTGCTGCATAGTCCTCAGTGATAGGGCCCTTGCCTAACATGTGAAAGGCCCTAGATTCTACCCTAACTCACTCCCAGGTGCACAAAAAGCACGTGGGCACACCTGTACTCCCAGCTTCTCTAGAGGTCAAGTCAAGAGCATTGAGCTCCAGGCAATTTAGCATGACCTGTGTCCAGGCTGAGGGTAGGGCTATGTGGGAGCCTCTTCTTCACTGGACATCCACTGATACAGGTATCTAAAAACATGTTTAAATGGTCTAATTTCTACAGAGTCATCATGTTTTCTCTTTAGTGCAGTTATTCCAGTTGGACATCACCGTGAAACAGGGACGGGATAAAGTCCGAGAAATGTTCATGAAGAATGCTCATGTCACAGACCCCAGGGTGGTTGATCTCCTGGTCATTAAGGTAACTACCTTCTCAGATGAACTTAAAAGATCTGCCAGCTTGTCTTGTGCTTCTGAGTCTTCATTAAAAACCAGCTGCTGCTGGGTGGTGGTGCACACCTTTAATCCCAGCACTCAGGCAGAGGTAGGCAGTCTCTGTGAGTTCAAGGCCAGCCAGGGCTACACTGAGAAATTCTGTTTCAGATTCCCCTCCCCACCCAAAAGAAAGGGGGCAGGGAGACAGCTCTTGACTTAGCAGCTATTGCTGTTTCCTAGTTCAACTAGAGGTCACCATTTCTTTTATTTTTAAAGCCAGGGTCTTACTGTGGAGACCTGGCTTGGCCCTGAGATCTGTCTGCCTCTGCCTCCCAAGTGCCAGAATTAAAGGCATGGAGGTCTCCACTTTTGAAACACTATGTAGCCTGGGTTAGAATCAGACAGCCTCTTACCTCAGCCCCTAAATAAGCTTGTGAGATTGCTGAAGAGGAAGTCCACCGGGGCCTCGCATTTTGTGACTTTTTAACAATGGAAAGCAGGGCAGAGGCAAGTGGATCTCTGTGAGTTCGAGGCCAGCCTAGTCTACAAGAGCTAGTTCCAGGACAGACTCGAAAGCTACAGAGAAACCCTGTCTCAAAAAACTTAAAAAAAAAAAAAAAAAAAAAAAAAAAAAAAAAAAGGGAAGCAGGGAAGATGCCACCCCTGGAAGTCGCTGTCTCACCAGTATGCCAACCACCAGAAGAGGAAAGCAGGATGGCTTCGGGGATGGTACAGATGAGGTCAGACTGTGGCCCTTGTGTTTCCCAGGCCAGTCATGGTCCATCAGCAGTAGCTCATGGCAAACCAGGAAATACCACACACTGTTACATAGAAACATGACGTTAAACCAATCGTGTTGCGCAGTCCTGGGAACCTGTTAGTTACTTCTCTTGGAAAAGCAGCAGGTCATTGAGTCCCACCACCCTCCAAATGCAGAAAGTCGCCTTAGAAGATTTACTCACCCAGGGTCATTAGCAAGTCCATACCAAACAGAGTACTGAACTTGAGTGTTGTGCTCTTCATTTGATGGCTTGAACTGACTACTTTCCGTTCACGTGCACAGGGGAAGATGGAGCTCCAGGAAACCATCCACGTGTGGAAACAGCGGACACACATTATGCGGTTCTTCCACGAAACAGAAACACCGAGGCCAAAGGACTTCCTGTCCAAGTTCTATATTGGCCATGACCCATAAGGTGCATGTTAATATTTAATTATTTTAGAGTATAAATAAACTCATTATTTGATGGTTGTTTTGTGATAAACTTGCACCGGTGAACCCATTTCCTGTGGTCTCTCACTCCTTGCTTAAGTGTGTGTGTGTGTCTTTGGTGCGCATGCCATGTTTATTTCCTTTTTCTGGAGTGTGGTGCTTGCTGTCAGCTGTATGGGATCCTGCATGAGGAAGCAGGGAGGGATAAGGCTTCTCATCTGTCCAGACTCTGTCCCCGTGGCTTTGAAGCTGAGTGAGTCTGTTACTGTAGTTGTGCTTACTATGCACTTAGTTATTGTAGTTGTACTTCTAAGATTGGGATCTTGGTGTTAAGGCTCTTCCTATCAGAGGGAACAGAGCCCACACTATGGGAGCAGCAGTAGGACTAACAAGATGATCTATTTTGCTCTGGAAAATGGCTGCTCAAGGCCTAGACCTTCTACTTAGAAGCACTGATCTTTAAAATGAAATTAACTTCCTACCCATTGTGCAGGGGCACAATCGTTCGATGCAAACAAAGAACAGACTCATCCTACTACTTCTGCACTTTATTCAAACAGGATCTCATGTAGCCACGGATAGCCCCATACTCACTCTATAGCCATGGATGACCTTGAACTACCAATGTTCTTGCTTCTGCCTCCTTCCCTGAACAGTCCTGAATGCTGGCGAAAGGTACTGTCTTTAGACATACTTACTGAGTGACCCCACAGCACCAGGGAGTCCCGTCCCCCCCCCCCCCCCGAGCCCAAGTTTTACAAAACATTCTAACTATTAAGAAGTATCAAAACTCCACGTTTGGCGAGTAGCAACCCCTCTAGGCTTAAGGCTACAGTTAACTTAAGTGGCTCTGAGGGAAGATTTATAAAGTTAAAAAAAAATTTAAGTCTCAGGATGGGTTAGGGGGGTGGAAAGATGGCTCATTGGTTAAGAGTTCTTGCTGGTTTTGCAGAGGACCAGAGTTGGCTCCCAGCACCCACTTGAGACAACTCATAATCATCTTTAACTCCAGTTCCAGGAAGATCATATGCCTTTGGCCTCCAGGGGCACCCATAAACAGATACACATAACTAAAGGAAAAAAAAGTTCTTGGTCCCCCCCAATGATGTCTGTGGTTGTGTAACAGCCTGGATGTCCTGGCTTTTAATAAGATGTTTCTTGAACACAGAAGAGACGACAAAGTGCAACTGAGCCTGCTGGGAGTGAGAAACGGGAGCAGCCTTTCAGTCACACATGGCTCGTATTTATTATGTCACTCATAGTTTCCAGTGCTCTGTGGACAACACATTTGCGGGAACCTCCCAAAAACATAGGATTCTGGGCTGTTGTCACAAACCATGAGGAGGTGAGGCTGAGGGCTGGCTTTCTCTGACCCTTCTGCCAATAGGGAAGGAGCTGAGCGGGCGACCACTTCGTCTATTAGTGCTTTCTCCTTTCTGCACTTCTCCATGTCCTGGAAGAAAGGCAAGCATCAGTCACTTTAAATAAATAAATAAACCACACACAGTCTCATGTAGCCCAAAGTAGTCTCAAACTCACTGTAGCCAAGGATAATCTTGAACTTGTTCCTGCCTCTACCTCTCCAGTGCTGCGATTACTGGTGTGTGCCACTAGAAATACCCAAGGCATTTCTCTTCTGCTTTCTGAGATAAGGGCTCCTGTTGTCCAGGCTATCCTTGAGCTCTGCCTCTACTTCCTGGGTACCAGGATCACAAAAGCTTGTGATGCCACACCAGGCTTTGGCAACAGTCACTTTCAAATAAGAGGTAAAGGGAGCTGTAGCAAAGACAAGGAAGAGTGGGTGGACTTAAGACAGAGTGGTACAACAGTGGGCTAATACTTGGAGACTGATAAGAATGCAGGTAACTCGGGCAGAGCAGTGACTCAGCCGATCAGAACCCATACTGATCTGACAGAGGACCAGAGTTCAGTTCCATAAAAAATGGCAAGAGATCTAACAGTCTCTGGCCTCCATGAGTACCGTATTCATACACATAGAGACATAAGTAAATGTTAGAATAAAATGATGACTCCTCCTCAGCCCACTCTGGGATGACCACAGAAGACATGGTCCTCTCAAGGTTACTTCTTCCTGTAGCTGGGAATGTGGAAGATAAAAATGGCGTAGGAGGTATGACCAGATCACAATAAGAATGCCACGCAGAGAGGCACAAGTGTCTTTGCCTGTGACAGTCTATAGCCATGCAGCATACATTATAACACAGGAAATCAACACAGGAAAGCTGAATGGGAAGAGCACTGGGAGCCCTGCAAACAAGGGCTTGTAAGCAGGATACTGGCTAGGCTGGTGCAGTAACAGGGTACACGTCTTTAATCCTAGCACTCAGAAGGTAGAGGCAGGCCGATCTCTGAATTTGAAGTCATCCTGCTCTATATAGTGAGTTCTAGGACCGCCAGAACTACATAGTGAGCTAACTCAAAAACCTGAGAGCAGTAAGGATTTGCTAGTTGACTTTAAAAACTGCTTATATTTATATGTGTATTTAGGATGTGTGGGTGTTGGATCCCCTGGAGCTGGAGTTACAGGCGGCTGTGAGCTGGCCAAGTGGGTGCTGGGAATAGAACCCAGTTCCTCTGCCAGGGCTACCAGCTGAGCTAGGTCATCCACCCCCTTGCCAGTGTCTAAATTTCAGTCAGAAGCTGTTGGCCTCACTAAGTTGGTTAAGAATCCTAGATACCAGGACCTAACTTTGCCATTAGCCTCAGACACCAATTTTCACAGCTGTCCTGATTCATCTGTAAAAATTCAAGATTCCAGGGCTGGAGAGACAGCTCAGTGGTTAAGAACATGGGCAGCTCTTCCAGAGGACCCAGGTTCAATTCCCAGCATCCACATGGCAGCTCACAGTTGTCTATAACTATATTTCCAGGGGATCTTACACCCTCACACAGACATATACATAGGCAAAACACCAATGCACATAAAATAAAGACATTATTTTAAAAGGGCCAGGTGGGGGTAGCGCACACCTTTAATCCCAGTACTCAGGAGGCAGAGGCAGGCGGATCTCTGTGAGTTCAAGAGCTAGTTCCAGGACAGGCACCAAAAGCTACAGAGAAACCCTGTCTTGGAAATAAAAAAAAAAAAAATTCCCTGCACACTTCTCAGGACTGAGCACCCCTCCACTTCCCATATTCCCTTTTTACTTGTCTCTTACTTCTACTTTCCCTTTACCCACCTCAGGATTCGCTGGTTTACCCCTCCACTTCTGAGGCAGAGACTACATGACTTGTATAAAGTGTAAAGCATATTAAATCATCAAGAAAATGTCAGCTAACTGAGTGAATGTACATCAAGGTCAACTGAAAGGCTAGCTAGGATCTTAACCCATTGGCAGAGATTAACAGTGACTCGGTCAAATTACCCCATCCAACGTAAGAGAAAGACGTCTCCAGTGGGTGAACTCATTGAGCCTTCTGCCTTGAGTGTAGCTATGCTGCTACAGGCCAGACTGCATCATGACCAGAAGCTCCACCCTACTTCTTGTTCCTGTCCAATTAGGAAAAAGGCAAGTCTTACCTGTTAATCGTCATCGTCATCATCCTCTGGAACAAAAATGTCATGCTCCTCAAGTAGAGCAGCGAAGTTCTTGCTAATGAGTGTCCCAACATAGAGAAAGGGGATCACAATGGAGAACACACGGAGAAGACCAAAGGACATCTGCCGAGAGAGAAGTGCTGTGAGTCCTGGGGACTCCCTCAGGGGCATTTCCTCCAGGGACCCCAGATCCAGACACCAACTGAGGTTTAAAGTCTTTGGAAAAATTCAGAGCCAAAAAGAGACAGTGAGTTTGGTGGCCATCAAAATGGATGCCAGAAAGAAAAGCATAAAGCTAAATTAAATTTAGGAAAATAAGCAACTAAAAATTAGGGTTTTTAAAAAATTAGACCACCTGCTAATTCCTTGCAAAAACCATAAACAACTGGGTGAGAGACTACGATGGCTAAACTGTGGTCAGCTCTACACACATCAAAGTGAGTTTCAGGGGCTCGACAGATGGCTCAGCACTTAGGAGCTGGCTCCTCTTCCAGAGGACCTGGGTTTGGTTCTCAGCGCCCACATCAATTCTCATAAGGAAGTAACTCCAGTTCCATAGAACACCACACCCATACACATAAAAAATGAATTTAAGAAGATGTGCACTGAAAGGCTCTTCCAGGCAGTTCTCTTCAGTAACTGGCGCCTGCTGCCTGAGAAACTGCAACACATTAAACTTTAAAACCATGAAAAAAAAGACAGTATGGACTGGAGGGAAGCAGGTGACATTTCACTAGTGTTTGCTTTCTGGTTCCCCTAGCTGTGCCTTTTTTTAAAACAGCTAAACCAGCCGGGCGATGGTGGCGCACGCCTTTAATCCCAGCACTCGGGAGGCAGAGGCGGGCGGATCTCTGTGAGTTCGAGACCAGCCTGGTCTACAGAGCTAGTTCCAGGACAGGCTCCAAAAAACCACAGAGAAACCCTGTCTCGAAAAACCAAAAAAACAAAACAAACAAAAAAAACCAGCTAAACCTTCTTGCTTCCCTTGCTGTGAATCCCGACTGCGGTCAACTGTTAGTAAGGGTCAGACTATCTCTAAAAGATTTCGTTAACCTTTCGCCTCTACACAGCCCCGCAGTCAAAAGGTACACCTTTGGTATAAGAGACTTTCCATTTTCTTTAAGAGCACTGAGGGCAAGTGACAGCATTCAGTGGTGGAAAAAAAAAAAAAAAACCAGGACGTGGTCCTTGTTGTCAAGACCTAACTTTGCTACCAGCTTCGGACGCCGGCTCTGCCCTGATTCATCTGTGAAACCCTTTCTGCAAGATTCTCTGCACACTTCTCAGGATAGAAGGGCCTGCTTCTTCACGTCCTTTTTCCTTCATTTCTTTCTTTCTTTCTTTTTTTTTTTTGCTAAGTATATTACTTCCGCATTCCCTTCTCATTTCTTCAGGCTTTTTAATCTCATCACCTCTGAGATAGAGATTGCGTGATTTGTATAAATCGACACAAAGCTCTTCTTCTAGTCCTAGAGAATGGGTCATTGCGTCCCTCAAGACAAGACACAGTGCACGTTCCGCTGCTTGTCTTCTAGCTTGTGTCCAGGAATCCAGCTTAACACTGGTTTTATGCATTTTTCCTCCACCTGTCAAAGTCAGCAACCCGACAGCGCAAATTGGGTCCTAAGTTCACAGCCCAGTCCGTGCCAATACTATGATTGGCCTCTAAGCCTGTCAATCAACACAGACCACACACACTCTCCCAATGACTGGCCTCGATCCCTTCGCCCCGCCTCGTCAGACACTCACTTTCACCGGCTTGGGCAAGATGGCTCCGCTACGAGTGACAATGACTGACCTCGTCGGTACCAGGCTGCGACCTGAGCTACCCGGTACGACGGAGACATCGCCACCTCTCCTCCCGCTCGGCCCGCTCCAGAGAGCCCCTGGTCGGACTGCTAGCCGAGCCAGCCGGCAAGCCACCGCGGACGCCATCTCCTGCTCCGCCCCTCGCAGGGATCCACACCCCACACACCCCGTTTGGCCTTCTCGCAGAAAACCCGCCTCCAAGCCTCGCGAGACTCTCGAGTACGGACGCACAGCCCTTACGTCTGCGCAGTGCCCGCGTTCCTGTCGCCATGGGAAAGCCCCGGGCACCCGCCCTACGTGGTGACGTCAGGAGTACAACGACGCCCCTCCCGGGCTCCGGAGGGCGGGGCCGTCCGTTTGGAGCTCCCTCTGCAAAGGTGTTAGTGACCTTGGCCTCTGAAAGACTTGTATTAATTTAAGGAACCGAAATGTGTAATGAAAAACTTTACTTGGTATTTGAATTTATAAAAAGGAACTTTAACAATAAAAAGTTAACAAGAGCCCATAGCGTCTGTGAACACTCGAACAACAGGTGCAGTGAGCAGCAGGCTTCCCATAGGGCGAGGGAACAAGCAAGAGCAGAACTGTACTGGTGGAGGTTGCACCAGCAAAACAGGTTCCCGGACTCACTCCGTCCCTAGGCTCGGGCACCGGCTTCGAAGCTCTGACTCCTGACTCTTCATTTGTAAACACGGGTTATAATAACCAAAATGAATAATTTTCTGAAAGGGTCTCACGTGTAGCCCAGCCTAGTCAAAAACCTTGGATGGCCTTGAACTCCTGATCCTCCTCTACCTCCTTTGCTACCACACCCTGCAAACTTTACTGTTCTGATTATAAGAAAACAATACAAAACCTAAAGCCAGAAGTGCTAGTATGAGGAGCTGGGTGGGCAGGCCTTCCGGTTCTCGGAGAACCGGAGAACCGACTTCTACAAAACAAACAAAACCAAACAGGGTGTGGTGGTTCATAACTATTCCCAGTGCTTGCAAAGCTAAGAATGAGTTCCAGGCCTGCATGGGCTACAAAGTGAGACCTGGTCTCCAAAAACCAAACTGAAGAACACTAACAACAAAGTTAGCAAAGGCTTAGTACTTGTGTGTACAATCAAGGGCAGTTGGCTATGATGCTATGTGCAGGCTGAGAACCATGCCTGGCATCACAGGACCTGGACCTGGCCAAGGAGACCATGAAACTCAAGTCTCCTGGAGGCCAAAGACTGGCCTTTAGGCCTGGGTGGATTTGGGTCAGGTTGCCCCAAGTCCCCAGACAGGGAAAGCAGGGTGGTCATGCAGAGGCAGGTTTTGTTTGGGAAAGAGGTATAGCTCTATCAAGCCCCACATTTTCCCACAGTCACTGTCACCACACATACATAAAGGGACGGAAGGGCCTGGCTTCTGGCTCTATAAGACCCAGCCATTTGTCCTCTTAGAAGAAAACAATACTTGGCAATGATACAGGAGAAAGTAGCCACGAGGGTTCTTGACAGACAAGCCTTGGGAAACAAGGCTTGGAGACAGGGTCCCTAGGAGTGTCCGTGGACAGCAGATCAGGAAGGGCTGCTCCTAGATAAAGGCTGCCTGCCTCTCCCAGGGCCATGTCCAGCACTGGGCATTGACAAGGTGGCTGGGGAGAAAAAAAATCCCCCTTAGCACCGGGAGAGCCTCTCCTACAGAGAGCCCTGCACAAACCATGTCGATGTCAGTCCTCAAGCCACTTCTGCTGGCACCGCTGGTATTCAGATGCCCAAGACTTCTTATGTTGGACATTACAGCTAAAGTGTCCTGCAGGGGTGGGGGCACAGCCCCTTCCTGCATTACATTATGTTCCCATCAGCCACCTGGCCTTTCTAGGCCTCAGGAAACAGGTTGGAAGTCATGATTCCTCAGTTCACTCCAGGCAGAGGGGAGGATTGCAAGTTGGAGAAAGTCTACAGAGCAGGAGGGGGACACACACACACACACAGCAATCTGGGAAATGAGTAAACATTTAACTCCTGAAGTACTGACCCTGGCATCCTGACCAGCAGGTCAGGGTCACAGTGCAAAGGGCCGGGAATCAGGGCCTATCCTGTTGCTTGCTCTCTGGCTGGCTCCCCTTGGCCCTCTGCTGCCATCCTCGCCTTAGCTCCATGATCTCCTTCCCATACCAGTCATGCAGGGTAGAGAAACAGGAGGTCTCAGGGGACACGGGGCTCTGTCCCTTGCTTAGGAGGAGGCTGGCAGGGCCCTGCAACTCCCATTCAGTCAAATCCCGACCCATGGGCCTGCTTCCCCTTTCTTCCACAGACCCATTGGGATTTCGGTCCCTAGGGAAAAAGTAACCATTCTCAGGGCCTGGAGCTGAGCGGTCAGCAGTCCGAGGCTTACTGCAGCTGGCAACAGACTTCTGGGACACACAGCGATGCAAGGCCAGGCTCTCACGGGCATCCTGCAACTGGCTCTCCAGTTCTCGGACTACGAGTCTCATGTAGCCAAAGCTGGCTCGGGATAGTGCCTTTACCCAGGCCTCCTGGGCAACCTGCCCATCTGCTGCCAGCAGGTGTGGGTGCACTCCAGGGGCATCAAAGCGAATGGCGAAGGCAAACTCCTCAGGCACAGGAGCTTCGGCCAGCTCCACCGTGCAGCCCTCCAATACCACTAGGCTCAGAGGGGTCCGGCTTTCTCTGTTCTCAAAAGAGAATAGCAGGTTGCCCTTGAGCACAAACCAATATCTTCGGCCAGCACCACTGGAAGTAGGTGCTGTCCCTGGTCCCCCCCAAGTACGAAGGAAGCCGGTGTGATCTGCTGGAGAATCACTCAGAGCATAGTGGGTCATGCTCCTCTTGTTCAGCTTCATGGCGTCCACAAGAATGCTGAGGTAGAGATGGTAGCACCTGGAGGAAAGGCCCCAAGCTCAGAAGACCTCCAGCCCAGTCCTGTGGCTGCTACTGTGTCCTTGCAGCTCTCAGACTTCATCTGTGAAGGACACTAATCTTCCTTGCTGTTCTTTTTAAGGGTCATCAAAGGGCCACACACACAAAAAAACTGGATATCAAAAAACTGTAACAGAAAAGACAATTGTATCAGAAAAACAAGAATGACAGGACATTGATATGGTGGTTTCTGTTTGCTTGTTCTTTAAACATGTAGCCCATGGTGCTCTCCAACTCACTATGTATCCGAGGATGCTCTTGAGCTGATCCAACTGTCTCCATCTCCCCAGTCCTAGGACTGCAGGCCTGCTGCCATGCTCCTATCCTGTGACCTTCCTGGGCCCCTACCAGCCTCTCTCAGTGGTGTCCAACCCACCTTAATAAGAACCTGTGATTTCAGAGCCAGATGGAGTCAGGAGAAGGGGCATCCAGCAATGGATCAAAGGGGACCTGCTCTCTTAAACTCCAGTGGCACTGGAGGTACTGAAGACACCCACCAAATTCTGGTGCTCCAAGGTTCCTATGGCAGCTCAACCCACAAGAGTCATAATGAAGGAGAAGCAGTAAATGGTCTCACACATTCTTGGTGGGGTCTTGTTGGTGACACACTTATCAGAAGAGCCTAAAGAGGGGACAGGGTGGCCTCTTATCTAACCGCACCGCTCAGCCACATGGTTCCCACAGAGCCTGCAAAACAGCTCTCAAAAAATGTGACAATTGCTGTTCTAACTGTAGGGCCCAGTGAAAGGGCAGCCTCTTGCAGAAAGCCCTGCCTCCTGGTTTCAATGCCCCCACTCACCCCTACCCCCCAGCTACTGAACTTCCTCTGGATCTTAGCCCACTGTCTCTGGACTGTAATTATGGACCCCCTGAGGCTAGGTAGGTCAATTGAGTGCCTGCCAAGGCTTTCCCTTCTAGCACTTGTTGGAACAATCATCACAAAAATCTCTCGTGATCGCTGCTGCACCCAAAGTGGCTTGTTCTGAGGTCAACTGGCCAGTAGTCCTCCATTTTCTGGCTTTGTCCATTTCACCTCCCTCTGTCAATGTTTTCACTTTTCACTGTCCCCATTTGCAGGGTGTCTAAGAGCTTGATTGTCCAGTAACCACCAATAATCAGCCCTGTGCAGACTTGCTGAATTCGTAGGAATACATCAGGAGACAAAACTATGTCCCTGTGCTCCTGAAATCTACTTTGCAGTAGGAGAGACACGCAGTAAGCAAATACAATTAAATAATGAATAAATCAAGTAGTAAGTGATTGAAGCCAGGATGAGGGAGGGGAAGAAGGGCTCCAAAGAGAAGCAAAGCAGGCCTGGAAAAGAGGAAGGCCCATCTAGCCGCAGCCCTTCGTGGGCCCCACGGAGGGGCTGAGCCCACGAACGCCTAAAGATGAGGCCTCTCCCTCGGGCGGCCCTATGGGTGCCTGGATGCCTGGATCCCGCCCGGATTCTTCAGCCACGCCCTCCAGGTCACCTCCTCCCGGAGCCCGCCCGACCCGCACTCACCTACAGAGCCTGAGCCTGCCTCGTCGGGTGCTTTGCGACCGCTCTCTGCTCCGGACCCCGCGCCTCCGCCCGGGCCGCAGACGTGGCCGCTGGAGCCAGGAGACCCCGCCCGGGAGGCTCGTGTTACCGCCCCGGTCTCTCCCCGCCCAGTACCCACCAGGCCTCGGGATCTGCAAAGTCGCCTCGGCACGCACACCAGAGGGAAACTGAGGACCTGGCGGTGAGGACCCGCCTGAGCCGCAGGACTTGTCGGTGATGGATGACCTCGAACCCCAAGCCCAGCGTCAGGCTACCCACAGACCTCCAGCCCACCACCAAAAGAGAAAGAATTAGACAGTTTTTTCCCCAAAAGTTCCCCATTACCAGCTGGCAGAGCCAAGCCAGGCAATTCATCGGATAGGGCGCTTCATAAGGCTAGCTCCTAAAGAGCCTGCAACTAAGTCCTTGGGTCAGCCCCATCTCTGCCTCTAGAAACTGGCCATTACAGCTTCTCTCACCTGCCAGTGAGGGTCTGCAGTTCACTTGTGGTCCCAAAGATCTACCTGGAGTTTGTCCATCCAAACGCTTAAGGGAAGACTGCAGGATAGCCCAAGGCAGGCAGGACTCCCAGAAGCCGAGGGCAAATGCATTCAAACGCCTGCCCAGGAGCTTGTGGGTTCCCACCTCAACCTCTTCTCTGCAGTTCCTGAAGCCCAGAGAGCCCTTCCTTCTCACCCAACCCCCATCACTAGCCTCAGAACTCCTTGACATTTAGGTCAGCTCTGAGGTTCCCTCCCTGACCTCACAATGTAGAGAAAGAGAAGAGTACCTACACCCTGCTTTGAGTTGTGCTGGCTGGTTTTTGTGGGGTGCGGTGGGTGTTTGTTATTGTTGTTGTTTACCAACTTTTCTTCAATTCAAAGTATCACCTGGAGTAAATATGTTACAAGGCGAAAATGGAGGGTGGGCTTCTCACCGTGGGGAGCTTGAGGTTTAAATGGTCGGAGCAGACCTCACTTTGAGGGATAATTAAGGGAAATGAGGGGATCAGCATTGTAGGCAGAGAGCACTGCTAGTTCCAAAGGCCCCAGAGCTACTGTGTTTGAAGAGCCACAAGGAGGGCAATGAGGAAGATAACTGTAAGAAACAGGATCAGAAGGTAGAGGGTGGGGCTTAGGAAAGCCATTTCTCCAAACAGAGAGAGGAGTGACCAGGGCTGGGTTGGGTTCTATTTAGGTTATTTTATGTGTCTGAGAGTTTTGCCTGCATGTATGTATGTGTGCACCATGTGCGTGCCTCGGAGTTCAGAAGACGGTGTCAGATCCCTTAGAACTGGGGTAGGGATAGTTGTTGAAGCCACTATGTGAATCTAGACCCTGAATCCCTGTCCTCTGCAAGAGCAACGAGTGCTGTTAAGCACTGAGCCATCTCTCCAGCCCGCAGAGCTGGGTTTTCAAGGTTTGCCTTGTCTGCTGTGGAGAAAGTCTCCTTAGATGGAAGCAGAAGGTCGTTGAGGGACTTCTGTGAACCAGGCAGACAGTATGTGATGAGCCCATGCTTGCAGTGTGATGAGGGGTGAAGTTCGAAGGTAGAGAGCACAGGATGTGTGGAGAATTACATATGAAGGCTGAGGGAAAAAGAAGGAAGAGCGTACTGAGCATTGATTGGATCGTGGCACAAAGTATGCTTGCCGTTACCTGGGTTGTGAAGAGACGGTACTATCCCGTTAGGGGAAGGTTATGACTACCATCAGGGCCAAGGCATTCAGAAATAGCATTTGGCACCAGCATATGTTCAATAAATAATTGAATGAGTGAATGAATTTGGGAAGTGAATGGACGTCAGATGGAGGGGACAGACTCCTAACCTTTCAAGGGCTGAATTCCCATCCAGCCTCTTCACTACCGTTTTTAGCGGTTAAAGACCAAGTTTCTGGGCTGTTTCCTTTGGCTATCAGTAGAAATTCACTGCACCTCCACTTACTGAGCGCGAGCAGTGCGGACCATCGCCCGCGCCTGTGGGGCGGTGCACGGAGGAGATCAGGCAGACTAGCTGCGTGCCCGAACGCCCACAGGGTCCCGGTGCCGATTCCACGAGGGCGCGCCTCAGGAGCGCGCAGAACTTAAATGGGCGGTGCTTATGGAGGCTGGGCGCTGGGGCATAGAGGGAGGGCACGGCGTTGCTAGGGGATTCTGATTGGTTGCTCCGGAAGGGTTGCCCCGCGATGCCCCGCCTCCCGGGTCGCTATAGGTACGTGGAGGCAGCAGCTGGGGGCTCCTGAGGCTAAACGTACAGCGGACTGAGCGACCGAGAAGGTGGACCTAGGAGGACCGAGGAGACCAAGGAGTACTCTGGACCTGGGATCTTTGAGGACCGAGGCCGAGAACCCGGACTTCGCACGGAGATCCGGAGCCTGGTAGGGCCCAACGTCTCTCTTCCTCCTGGGCTTCCTGGAACCAGTGGCCGCCGCTTTCGAGCACTGGTCTGGCAAAAGGACGATGATGTCCTAGACTCCGTGTAGTTCTAAAGAAAGAGCCCAGACTCGGGGTAGTGATGGCAGGGGAAGGAGCGTCGGTAATGAAAGCGACTTGGTACCACAGCTGTCCTAGAACTCACTATGTAGACAAGGTTATCCTCAAACTCGCAGAGTGCTGGGATTAAGGGGTGTGCGCCTTAACACCCGGCAATAACATCTCCTTTTTGAATCAGGGTCCCCCTGTGTAACTCTGGCTGGCCTGAAACTCGCTATGTAGACTAGGCTGGCCTGGAACTCACAGAGATCCTCCTGCCTCTACCTCCCAGTGCCGGGATTAAAAATAAAGGCATGCAACGCTATGCCCAGTGCTATATTTAACATGTTATCTTCCACAGTTCAACATATAAAGCTGATTGGAGCAGAGAAGATTCAGTTGGGTCCTGATAATTGACTCCGAGGCGATGCTGCAAAAGACAGGTACCCACAACCCACTGCGGTGGCTTTCCGGGAGGGACTGTGGAAGGGGAACCAGAACTCTGCCTGATACTTATTTCTCTTTCTTGATGTGAGTATGTGGGGAGAACACTTCCTCTCCTCTTCTTGGAGCTGGGCCAGGAAAATCAAGGAGATGCTCCCCAGCCAGGAATCATTTCCCCTCCAAAGAGGGGCACTTCCTTTCTCAGTCCTGCTCCGGTGTAGCGGCCCTATCTTACCAGGTAGCAGCCTGCCACAGCAACCCTGTAAAGTGGGTACAGTCACTTACATGTAAGGAAACTGAAGTCCAAGAGGAAAGGGCTCATGTAGGTGAGCAGCTGTGTATGAGTCCATCCTGACCAACCTCCTTAGGCCCTTCTGTGGCTTTCTGAGGTGGAGAGCAAAGAGCCCCCAAGGCCTCAGCAACCTAGAATCTGCCCACAATGTACTGCCACTTCTGTACAGGGAGGGAGAGAGGGATCTCGTCCCACATATATCAAGGACATGACTTCAGGGGTCAGTTCTGTTGATTCCCAGGCTGTGCCAACAGTGAGTGGGTTGCCCAGCTTTTTTAACATATTGCCGTGCCCCGTGCACCTTCCCCACAACCGCAGGTGCAGTCAGAGCCAACTCTAACCTGAACTGAGTAGTCTCAGTCCCCACTGGGCTGCATAGAGAGAATTAATGACTAAGAGGGACATGGGGGGCTGAGGTGATGACGAGGGAGAGAGGCTGTGGGAGCCACTTACATCCAAGTCACTGTCCACCTTCTCCTCAGTGCTCTTACTGGCCCTGGTGACCCAGGTACTGATGCTGGAGAATGGGCTCCTGCGAACTCCACCCATGGGCTGGCTGGCCTGGGAACGTTTCCGCTGTAACATCGATTGTGACCACGACCCAAAGAACTGCATCAGGTGAGTAAGATCTGGACACCCAGGGCAGCAAAATGGGGGTGGGAGACACTCACCAGCACAAAGTGCAAGGTTGGAATTGCCAAGCTGAGGGAGTCTACAGACTGATACCTAGTCCCATGACCTCTGCGGAGGCCTCAGTGGAGCCTCAGTGGGTAGGGTCCAAAGGTGGACCTGGCCCCTGAGGTAACTGGAAAGAGATAAAAGGCCAAGCAGGCCCCTTGTGTTTCCCTTGGCCTAGGGGCCAGACCACCCCTTTCGCCCCACCCTGACACAATCCGGGGAGGCCATTTACTCTTGTTATCTGGTCTAGTCCTCAGCTGACAGCAGAGGCATGATTTTTTTTTTTCCTTTTGGTTTTGTGTGACTGGGTTTCTCTTTGTAGCCCTGACTGTCCTGGAACTCACTTTGTAGACCAAGCTGGCCTTGAACTCAAAGAGCCTGCCTCTGCCTCCCAAGTGCTGAGATTAAAAGGTATATGCCACACCGCCCAGCTAGAGGTATGATTGTTTTTCAAGACAGGTTTTCTCTGTGTAACAGTCCTGGTTGTCCTGGACTAGCTCTTGTAGACCAGGCTAGCCTTGAGCTCACAGATCCGCCTGCCTCTGCCTCCCGACTGCTCGTATTAAAGGCGTGTGCCACCACTGCCCAGCTAGAGGTATGATTTTGTTTTGCTTTTGAGACAGGGTTTCTCTGTGTAACAGTCCTGGCTGTCCTGGAACTCACAGAGTTCCGCTTGCCTCTGCCTCCCGAGTGCTGGGATTAAAAGCTAGAGGTATGATTTTTATAGCCAGAATTCACACTCAGAGCAGAGAAAAGAGCAGAAATGCAGGACAGCCTGAACTACTGAGCAACACCATCCTTCTGTCCCTTGCTAGTGAACGCCTCTTCATGGAGATGGCTGACCGGCTGGCCCAGGATGGATGGCGGGACCTTGGTTATGTATACATCAACATCGATGACTGCTGGATTGGTGGGCGTGATGCCAAAGGCCGCCTGCTGCCTGATCCCAAGCGCTTCCCTCATGGGATTGCCTTCCTGGCTGACTATGTAAGTCCCAGTCCAGCCCTGCCCCTTAGTATGAAGGCCACACCTCTCTTCCTCCCTTGTGCCTGGGGCTCATTAGCAACATCTCCGTTGATGACTATGGAAGCTGAAAAAATGAACACCTACTTTTGACCTAACGTGGTGAGAGCCAGAAAGGGACCTTAGCAAAAAGATCCCTGGAGGAGGAGTCGGGTTGAACTGATCCCAGAGGTGAGGCATCTGGGGCAGTAAAAAGCCTCAAGGCAAGAGATAGCTGGAGGAAAACGGCCTAAGCTGGCAGAAACCAGCCAGCCGGCACTTGTCTTTGAGCCACTGAGGGTTCCCACTTTATTTTGTTGAGAGAGGGACTCGCATAGCCCAAGATGACCTCCAACACTGTAGCTGAGGATAACCTTAAACTTCTGGTGCCAACTGGGTGTGGTGGTACATGTCTTTAATCCTGTGCTCTAGAAGCTGGCAGATCTATGAGTTCAAGGACAGCCTGGTCTATGCAGAGAGTTCCCAGCACAGCCAGAGTTACATAGAGGGGCCCTGTCTCAAACAAACAAAATGTTTGATGCTCTGGGATTTTAGATGCTTGTCACTATGCACGGTTTATGTGCAGTGCTTGGGACTAGAACCCGGGGCATCGTGTGTCATAGGCAAGCTCTCTGCCAGCTGAGCTACATCCCCAGCCCTGGGAGCCGTTGCGGGGTTTTGTTTGTTTGTTTGGTTGGTTTATTGGTTTTGTTTTTTAATTTAACTTATTTATTGGTTCTTTGAGAGTTTTATGTCATGCACCCCAATTCTGCTCATCTCCCAGTCCCCCAATATCCTCCCTTCACCCCTGAAGTACTCCCTTGCCAAAGAAAACAATACAGTAAGCAAGCAAGCAAACAAAAATAAGAAAACAAACCAAGTAAAACAAAACAGAAACCAACAACACCAAAAACCTCTTTGTTTCTCCTTTCCTGCCTCTCCAACACCTCTTCATCCGTCCTGGTGGCACTGGGGTCCTGGGTGTGTCATATAGTATGTCCTTTTGTCTATAAGCTTCACCAGCAAATGTTCATTGCAGTGAATCACTGGTCTGGCTCAAGGCCTCTGGTTTCTGGTACTCCATCATCTCAATGCCATGATGATGCCCAGGCCAAAGCTGCATGAAGGCAATGTCTAGGTCTGTGGCCCTACTGCAGCCAGGATCTGTGCCGATGTCCAAGGCTCCTGTTACTATCAAAGACCCAAGATCAGGGGCCATGTTGGTATCTGAGGGGCTGTTGAAGGTTTTAATGGTCATTGTCAAGATATGACTATGAAGAGGGTCTCACTTGATCTACCATTGTCTCTTGAACCCCACAGGCCCATTCCCTGGGTCTGAAGCTAGGCATCTATGAGGACTTGGGCAAAATGACCTGCATGGGTTACCCTGGTACCACTCTGGACAAAGTGGAGCTAGATGCCGAAACCTTCGCTGAGTGGAAGATTGACATGCTGAAGCTGGACGGCTGCTTCTCTACTGCCAAAGAGCGTGCACACGGTGAGTTCCTGCCTGGCTCGGCCATCATCCGGAGAGAGGGCAGCAGCTGTGGGTCTCAGTCTGCCTGTACCTGGTGGTGGCGGCGGTAGTTTTCCCAAATTCCTTACTCCTGCTTGCCGCTCCCTGGCCCTCTAAAGATGCAATGACTCTGTAGCTACATAGCTTCCTCCTAAGGCTTGGCACCCAGGAAGTAAATCTTTAGGTACGAGGAGGTACTTCCTAGACTGTCCCCTATGCCTGCTCAGTCATCAAATTGGGGTTTCTGCAGGGTATCCCAAGATGTCTGCTGCCCTGAATGCCACAGGCCGCCCCATCGCCTTTGCTTGCAGCTGGCCAGCCTATGAAGGGGGCCTACCCCCCAAGGTAAGCCATTCCGTGTACCTGCCTGCCACAGCTTCTCTCTCCCAGGCCCCATCACCTCCTATGTGCCAGGCCAGAGGCAGGCTGCCCTCATAGTCAGAGTTGCTCTCGTCATAGTTAGCCAGCACACCAATTTCTAGGTGTCTAGAGACCACCAGGTCCCTGAACCATAGAGGAAGCCTCAGTCAGCGCATCCGGTGGGTTGTTGGTGTTGGCATCCAAGGCAGGCAAGCAAGGCACAGGCACAACGTTGAGCAAGTGATCAGAATCCCGGGTGGTGGCACTGTCACTGAAGAAATGCATGTGGTGGGGAGGGTGATGGGCACACCCCATATGGAGGAAAGGCCTGGACAGCCCCGAGATGGGGTCACCTTCCCAGACCACACACCCCTGAGAACTAATCCTCTGCCTCAGTCCAAGCCTCCCCAGCTGGCAGATGGCCCCTGGGCATCAGGGTGACGTGTGTTAGCTCCTACCTTTCCCACCATCCAGGTGAACTACACTCTGATTGCCAACATCTGCAATCTCTGGCGTAACTATGACGATATCCAGGACTCCTGGAAGAGCGTGCTCTCCATTCTGGACTGGTTTGTGAAACACCAAGACATACTGCAACCAGCAGCGGGTCCTGGACACTGGAATGACCCAGACATGGTACCAGCATGGAAGGGGAGGTCTCTAGCCCCGCCCTTCTTGCCATCCCTCCAGTCCCTGCAGCCTAGCACCCTATGCACTCCTATAGGGCAGTGGTTCCAACCTTCCTAATGTTTCGACCCTTTAATATGGTTCCTCATGCTGTGGTGACCCCCAACCATAAAATTTATTTCACTGCTACTTCATAACTATAATTTTGCTACTGTTATGAGTTGAACCCCACCAGGAGTCGTGACCCACAGATTGAGAACCACTGTTCTAGGTAGGGCCTAGATTAACACTAAACTATGTCCCTGGATTGGGTGTGTTAGGGTCTTCTAAACCCCTCCTTGTCCCCCTCTTTCACATCAGAATGTTCCAGAGCATAATCTGGGAATGCCCATTGTTAAGCACCTCCCAGGACATTCTGGTGTCTCAAAGAGCACTGAGAGCCCATCTGTAGCATCCATTCTGCTTCCTGTGCTCTTCTGTCCCTTTCCCTCTCTGCCTCTGGTTCCTTTGATGCTGTACCCTCTCACCCTGCAAAGTCTCCAGTCACCCCCACCCCGCAACACACAGCCTGCATCCTGCTTCCAGTCACTCGGATCTCAATCATAGCCCTGGTGATTTACACAGATGCTTTCAGGATTATCGGTTCAACTAGTCAGGAAGCATCACCAATCCGTGACAATGATGAGGCAGGAAGAAGGCCAGCCTGGAGAGCTGAGCTCACCTGCCTTTGAGCTCCTGCTCCAGCTCTCAGCTTCACCTGGGCAATTCCAGTCCCTTGGTTTCTTTCTCTCTTTTCTTTTAGACGGGGTCTTACTCTGTCACTATAATATAACGCAGAGACCCATTGTATCACCTGAGCAGCTCAGAAAGACCATCACCTCCTCTGCATGAAAGAAGCTGATGCTAGATGGGATGTGACTCGGCTGTGTGTGCTAAGCCATGCGGCCTTCTCCCCAGTCCTGTCTGCTCTTGCCTTGGCCACATGTTTGACCAAGGCCCTGGTGCCCACCTCCCTGAGGAGGCCCACCTCCCTGAGGAGGCCCACCTCCCTGAGGAGGCCCACATTGATTGCTCCTCTCCTCTGTCCCCAGCTGCTCATCGGGAATTTCGGCCTGAGCTTTGAGGAATCCCGGGCCCAGATGGCCCTGTGGACAGTGCTGGCAGCCCCCCTCTTCATGTCCACAGACCTGCGTACCATTTCCCCCCAAAACATAGACATTCTTCAGAATCCACTCGTGATCAAAATCCATCAGGACCCCTTAGGCATCCAGGGACGTAGGATCTTCAAGGTACTGGAATGGGGGTGAAAAGAGGAGGCTCAAGGAGCTGGGCTCCCCTGAGCAGGGGAGCTGGCCCTGGGTCTCCGTCCTGGCAGCATGAATTTGGGGATGCTGCATGGAGCTGCTGGCTTCTTGTCTGGGTCAGAGCAGGACAGTTCCTAAGTCGAGGTGGGGATACATGATAGGAGCACAGGGGATCAGTGAGTCACAGCAGCTGCATACAGGTGATGTCCTGGAGAAAATGAGGACTTTTCTCCAGTTTGAAGAATGGTTTAGCCAGATACACTGTTGCTACTGCCAGTGTCTACTGTATACTGCTGCTACTGCCAGTATCTACTGTATACTACTGCTCCTGCCAGTGTCTACTGTATACACTGTTGCTACTGCCAGTGTCTACTGTATACTGCTGCTACTGCCAGTATCTACTGTATACTACTGCTCCTGCCAGTGTCTACTGTATACACTGTTGCTACTGCCAGTGTCTACTGTATACTACTGCTCCTGCCAGTGTCTACTGTATACACTGTTGTTACTGCCAGTGTCTACTGTATACTGTTGCTAACACCAGTGTCTACTGTTTATTGAGCACCACTGAGGGCTGAGCATCCTGCACATTTTCTCTAACTCTGTTTTATTGAAATTGGAACTTCCAGAATTTAAGCACCTTTCTCCCAAGGCCACACATTTGTACTTGAATTCGATACTAATTCCCCAAAGACTTTGTTCTGTGCATAAATCCCTGCCTCTAATGAAAAGAAATATATCAAACTGTAGAAGGGACTTGTAGAAAACCAGCAAGGTGGCTCAGCTCTTAAAGCTGCAGACTCTGATGGGTTCAGTCCTGAGATCTACAAAATAGAAGGAGAGAACCAAATGCCACAAGTTCTCTGATTTCCATGTGTTCTCTGATGTACACACACAGACACACACACACAGACACACACACATAGACACACACACAGACACACACACAGAGACACACACACACACACGTTAATAGCTAATAAAAGTTGGCAGTGGAAAGATGGCTCTGTAGTTAAGAATACTTACCTCTCTTCCAGAGGACTCAAGGTTCAATTCCCAGAATGCGTATTGTGCGTATTGTGTGTGTAACTCCAGTTCCAGGAATCTGGCACCCTTTTCTGGCCTCAGGCATCACATACATACAGTAAATTTACATACATGCAGGCAAAAACATTCATACATATAATAATAAATCTTAAAAGGTAGTAATGCAAACTTTTTTTTTAAGATTTATTTATTTATTATGTATACAACATTCTGCCTCCGTGTATGCCCACACACCGGAAGAGGGCGTCAGATCTCATTACAGATGGTTGTGAGCCACCATATGGTTGCTGGGAATTGAACTTAGGACCTCTGGAAGAGCAGCCGGTGCTCTTAACCACTGAGCCATCTCTCCAGCCCAGTAATGCAAACTTTTAATCCCAGTTCTCAGGAGGCAAACGCAGTTGGATCTCTGTGAGTTCAAGGTCAACCTGGTCTACAGAGTGAGTTCCAGGACAGCCAGGACTGTTAAATAGAGAAACCTTGTCTCAGATAACAAAACAAAACAAACAAAAAAAAAAGACACTTGCCAAATTAGTGATGTCCCAAGGAGATGACTAGTCCCCCCTGCCAGAGGTGCCAGTGGTGACGCTGTGCCTGAGGATTGTTCTGGGTAATGAAGTGCCCTCTACCTGAGGCCAGCTGCATACCTTTCCCCACCAGTGCTCATTGTCCCCTCCTAGTAGTGTCCCCAATTGCAGCCCTGGAATGGTCTTGGCCGTGCTCATACGGTGTGGCCTCAGTTCTTTGTGTCTGCACCTCTTGTGATTTTGTGCAGGGCCTGGTACAGAATTAGTTAGCATCTGCTGAGTCAGGGAGGAGGGGAGAGAAAAGTGTAAGTGCTAGATGGCTGTGATGTTACATTGTCCTCAAGTCTGACTGCTGTGGGCTGGGGTTAAAGAGAGAGCTTGTTGGGAAGGGCATGGGAGGCAGGGATGTCAGGACCAAACCAAACATGAGACTTCAGCCAGTGGTTCTCTTTTGTGCCTAGAGTAAATCCCAAATTGAGGTGTTCAAGCGGCCTCTGTCTAATGGGGCGAGTGCCCTAGTCTTCTTCAGCCGCAGGACAGACATGCCTTACCGCTTCCATTCCTCCCTCTTGGAGCTGAACTTCCCCGAATCCAAAGAGTATGAGGTGAGTGCCCTGTCACCTGCTGTCCCCGACCAGGCGGTCCTGACTCCTACATGGTGTCCCCTATGCCTTAGAGCCCTAGAAAGAGCCTGGGGTGGGGGACAGCGAGAGGCATCAAGGGCTGTGACTGGTGCTGTCCTGTCTGCACTGTTGTTCCAACCACGTAGGTGGAGCTGCTGGGTATGAATGGGCACCCTTGACATCCCAAGCTGGTCCTCACTCCCTAGTCAGCTTTTGCATCATTGTACTTAGAGTTTTCCACAGGGTGGGGCTTTTCTGTAGTCTGCTTGAACATCTGTCAGCCTTGCTATAAATGAGTGGGAAATTCTCACTCCTATGGGGTGTACTGGAAGCCCAGCACATACGGGCTTCTAGGTCTTGTGGGGAGCAGGTCTCTGTGTCGCTGTTCTTGTGTTAGCCTCGATAATGATGTCCACCTCCCCAATCCAGGGCCAGAATGTCTTCACAGGGGATGTCATCAGAGGCCTCAAGAGTGAAACCAACTTCACTGTGATCATCAACCCTTCGGGGGTTGTGATGTGGTACCTATATCCCATGAGGACCCAAGAATGACAGGCTATGGCAGTCCCACTGAGCCTGGACCGTGGAGCTTTGGCATGCCAAAGACATGGCAGGGTTCTGTCCTCCCGAGGCTGCTTGGCGATGTGACCCCATCATACCCAAAGTGCATTTGTAGGGCCGGTTTCCATGCCCTGCCGGAGCCGGGGCCCTCTTGGAAACCAACCTTGGGACAGTTTCCTGTGGCCTTCGGACCTCTGCCGCCACAGCTCTGCAGATAATTGCTGAACAACTTGGCCAGCCTCCTGAGCCCCCACAGGAGCTCATTGGACTCTAGCCTCTGACTTTGCTGACTCAGAAATCAGGATTTGGAATTTTTCGAATTAGGAGCAGAGATCTGACTCTGTGCCAGGAGCTCTCACAAATCATGTGATTGGCCTTCCTACTGGAGAAGGCCTTGCAGTTGATACCTTGGGGAGTGAGGGGTGGATTGGAGACCTCAGCTCCCTTAGGTCACCAATAAAGCTGTTTGACTGTTCTCTAATTAAGTAGTGATATTATGAACTTGGGGCCAAGGGGTTGGGGCTCAGTGAAAGAATTTGGTGGCACTACCCAGATGCCAGCTTCAAATCCCACCCCACGTGGAAGATGTATAACACCTTCTAGTCCTTCATTTTCCAGAGTGACATTTGGACCTGATTCCCTTTTCTGCATTTTCTATTTCCTGGAGATGCCAGGCTTGCCTCCCAACAGGGGGCCGGCCCTGGTGTGCCTAAGGCTGGTGAGGTGGTGACAACACAGTCAGGTGGAGAGGCAATATGCCAAGGCCCTAAAGCATAAGCTCTGCCCAGCGGTGTTCCTTGGTACCCCCAGCCCCTCAACCTGGTGGTTTCTTTATCTCCCAGTCTACCAGCAGAAGAGATTCAAACTTCCCTTCTGTGTTCACAAATCTGGGGGTTCTTTTCTGTCCTGGGGTCTATTGCCTCCTTTGACTAAGGAAAGCAGCAGCAGTCAAAAATGGTGAGCTCTGGACCGCCTGTTATTAGTTCTGACTTCTGAGTCCTCCTCTCTCTCTCTCTCTCTCTCTCTCTCTCTCTCTCTCTCTCTGTTTTTTGAGACAGGGGGTTTCTCTGTAGATTTGGATCCTGTTCTGGAACTAGCTCTTCTAGATCAGGCTGGCCTTGAACTCACAAAGATCTGCCAGCCTCTGCCTCCCCGAGTGCTAGGATTAAAGGCATGCGCCACCACCTCCCAGCCCCATCTCTTTATTTAGCTCAGGATATGAGACACCTCTTTTACTGGGAGGCTCTGGTTCTTTGCCATTCACAGTGCTGGGGGCAGAGCAGGCTAGCTAGGTCCTTCTCGGGTCTTAAATGCAGGGGTGCCCTGTGCTTAAAGCCTTGTGTCGGTCCTGCCAGTGAGATTTCTTCGGGATAGATCTATACTCCACCTTCAGGGTTTTGAGGTCCTTGAGTCTACAGTAAGGTGTGAAAATACCTAGAAAATGTTTGACAGTGTCATGTGTGGGTTCATTAGCGGAACTGGTGTTTGTGTGTGAACGTGTGTTAAAGGATCAATTAAATTGGTTTAGGAAATATGGTCAAAATGGTCCCAACAGTAGCAGACTCACACCTGGAATGTCAAGAGGCCACAGTTGCTAGGTTCTTGAGGCTAAATGTCTCAGCAAACATAGGCCAACAATGGCTGTCTGACGTTCTAGAGGCTGGCAGTCCTGTAGTTATAGTTCCAACCTAGTATAGAAGGCCTGGGGGTTTCCTGGAGAGTCACTCCAGTCTGTGTTTAAAGCCCCCCCCCCCCAAAAAAAACTGGTTCTGATATCAAAGGACTCATCAGCAGTAAATTAATTCAGTGGTGATAGGGAAAGCCAATACTCCTCCATCCCTGTTCTTTTATATCTGGGCTGCCTCCAAAAAGTGCTGCCCAAATTTAGGTTGGGTTTTCCCGAATGAATTAAGGCAATTGTTATAGTTAGGATTTCTGTTGCTGTGGAGAGACCATGACCACAGCAACTCTTAGAAAGGAAAACCTTTCATTGGGGCTGGCTTACAGTTTCAGAGGTTTTAGTCCGTTATCATCATGCTGGGACATGGCAACATGCAGACAGACAAGGTGCTGGAGAAGGGGCTGAGAGTCCTATATCCAGATGGATCAGCAGGCAGCAGGAAAAGAATGGGTGTGGCTTGAGCTTCTGAGACCTCAAAGCCCACCCTCTAATGACATGCCTCCTCCAACAAAACCACACCCACTGCAACAAGGCCACACCTAATACTGCCATCTCTATGGCCAAGCTCTCAGCCACAAGAGTCTATGAGGACCATTCTTACTCAAATCACCACAGAAATCAAGACAACCCCACTGACAAGCCCAGGGACCAAGTTGAATATAAACAATCCCTCATTTGAGGCCGGGTGATTCAGTGACTCCAGGTTGTGGCAAATTGTCATTTAAAATGAGCACATCACGTAAAGGAGACTGGAACTTTGCTGAATGAGGCCACCACCTCTGACCAGTCTGGCAGTTGAGTCAGCCGAGATAGCTGCCCTTTCCCCAGAGGCTCTGCCAAGGACCAATTCCATTTTTGTCTGTCCTTTGTTTCAAGAATAATTTCAACGAGTATGGCATTTTTAGCCGCTTTGTCGCACTCTGTGAGTGGTTCCTGGGGAGCAAATGGTGTTCTTGTCCTTGTTCTAAGGGTAGGAGTTCCCTCATCCCACCCCGAAAGATGCACCTCCGTTCTGCGAGAGTCTCATTCTTCCTGGCCATCCTATTGCACATGCCGTACGCCTCTTGTGACTAGTGCACAGTTAACCTTTTGCTTCCTCTTCACCTTGTAGTCTTGATCTTACTGTTACATGTATGTGTGTGCACAGGTGAACACACTTTGTTCGTCGCGCTAGCCAAGAATATTTTAAGTTTATAAAATGTTTTATGTTATATTTCTATTCTAAAAAAAAATAGCTGGTCAGTGGTGGCACATGCTTTTATTACTAGCACCAAGGCAGAGGCAGGGGGCTCTCTGTAATTATGTTCAAAGCCAGCCTGGTCTATAAAGTGAGTTCCAGGACATCCAGCACTGAAACATGGAGAAACCCTGTTTTGATGAATAAATAAATAAACAAACAAACAAATAAATAAATGCGTGGCTAAAGAGGGCCACAGCTATGCTATACGCCCCAAACACTAAACCCCAGAAACTGTAATATTCCTATCTTATGATGAAGCGAGCAGTGACCTAAGCAGTCTGGCAAAGAGCCTACACAATGTCTCTCCTTACCTAAGGTGTACTCGGGTGAACAGAAACTAACACAGAGATATGTGTCTAACTAAATGTGCATTTGCCAATTGTGTTCAACACCAGGCTTGTAGGAAATTTTAAATAAGAAACAATATAGATGTGTTTGATAAATAAAGTTTATAAATTCTTAAGGCCTACTCAAGTAATTTATGTCACAGTAATATATGTCTAGCCTCTTTGTCTTTGCTAACTTTGTTAAGGTTATATCTCTGTATGGATAAACTGAGTCATATAAGAGACTGTAGTTGGAGCTAGAAAACATTATTCTGAGTGAGGTAACCCAGACACAGAAAGACAATTATCACATGTACTCACTCAAAGGTGGTTTTTAAACATAAAGCAAAGAGAACCAGCCTACAAATCACAATCCCAGAGAATTTAGACAACAATGAGGACCCTAAGAGAGACATACATAGATCTAATCTACATGAAAAGTAGAAAAAGACAAGATCTCCTGAGTAAATTGGGAGCTTGGGGACCTTGGGGAAAGATTGAAGGGGATGGGAGAGATAGGGAAGGGAGCAGAGAAAAATTTAGAGCTCAATAAATATCAATAAAAAGAGAGAGAGAGACTGTAGTCTTCTGTAATGGTGCACTGTAAAAGGACCAGGAAAGTTCCCAGTTTCTAAGGACTGTATTTATGGTTTAAAGTTTTATTTTGACGCTAAAAGATCTTCAATTAAATCTTCAACTAAAATTAAGGCTCAATCTTAACAGAGATAAAGCTGTCCAATTTTAATCTTTAAAAGCTACTAACTTATTATAAACTGTTACATATGAGTTAATACTCAATCACCTTATAAATAATCTAATTCTTTTGGGCTTTTGAGATAGGGTTTCTTTGTGTTTCCCTGGGTGTCCCGGAACTCACTCTATAGTTCAGACTGGCCTTGAGTTTACAGACATCTGCCTGCCTCTGCTTTCCAAGTGCTGGGATTAAGGGCATGCACCACCATCTCCTAGCACAATAATCAAATTCTTTAATGTTCTCAGAACTATGCTTATAGCCATGCTAAATTCAAATGTAATTTGTTTACAATGAAAAGCTTTATTTTGCCTCCTGTATGTGTTTTCAAGATTAAGGCTAAAAGCCAGGCAGTGGTGGTGCACGCCTTTAATCCCAGCACTTGGGAGGCAGAGGCAGGCGGATCTCTGTGAGTTCGAGACCAGCCTGGTCTACAGAGCTAGTTCCAGGACAGGCTCCAAAACCACAGAGAAACCCTGTCTCAAAAAACAGAAACAAACAAACAAAAACCTGTGTGGCTGGGTGGTGGTGGAACACACCTTTAATCCCAGCACTCCGGAAACAGAGGCAGGCAGATCTCTGTGAGTTCCAAGTCAGCCTGGTCTACAGAGCAAATTCCAGGACAACCAGGGCCACAGAGAAATCCTGTCTCTTTTGTTTGGTTGGTTTTTTGTGGTTTGGGGAGGGGGGGTTGTTTGTTTTCTGAGACAGAGTTTCTCTGTGCAACACTCCTGGCTGTCCTGGAACTCTCTTTGTAGAGCAGGCTGGCCTTGAATTCACAGTGATCCACCTGCCTCTGCCTCCTGAGTGCTGGGATTAAAGGTGTGTGCCACCACAGCCAGACAAGAAATCCTGTCTTGGAAAACAAAAATAAAACAAACAAGCAAAAACCCTATATAGTAGCCATAGCTGGAACTATGATCCTCCACATGGAGACTTTAGTGTGGGTTTTCACAAGATGGCTGATGGATTCCTGCTCGGAAAACTTGGCAACCACAGTCTCTTTCCAGAAGTGAGCATCAGGTAGCTGTAATTCTCTACAGTCATAGTTGGCCTGGTGTTCACTGTGTAGACCAGGCTGACCTTGAACTCACAGAGGTCCACCTGCCTCTAGATTTAAAGGTGTGCACCACAGCACCTGGCCGCCTCCACCTCTGAATGGTTGTAGACTCTAGTTTTCTAAGGTCCTCAAACTTTATTATGCATAGTTGTAAGATGAAGCTACAAACAGCACCACCCTCCTTGGATCACTATAGGGTTAAGTTGGCATGTTGCCTAGCAACCAACTGTGGTAGAAAGCATTTTTTAGAAACCTTTTGAACACAGAGTCTGTGGGACCATAGAACTTGCCAGCTTTGGCCAGCTGGAACCCTGTAAACCATAGGGGGAGGAGTGGTGGAACAGATCCCTGCCTCCGGCACAGAGCATCTTAAGTGGCCAGAGACACCATAGCTCTCTCCCAAGTCTGAAATTTTATTTATTT